CAATGTGAGTTGTGACCAACCGTCAATAAAGGTCAATGCTGGTTTTAACCGATCGGTAACCATTTCTTTACCAAAACCAACGCCGCCTGTACTGTTTAAATTGGTAAGTTCACGCCATAACATGGGTTATAGGTACAACGTATTATGATAATGGTGGCAATAGAAAGAGAGGTGGAGGGAGGAATTAAAAAAAAGATGGCTACTTTAGTTAATTGACAATTCGTCATATGATTTTAAAATAAATTGTTATACAAAATAGAAACAATAAATACAAGTAAAGTACAGTAAGTAAATTGTTTGGACGTTTTTTTGGATTTTAAAGAGGAAGGGGTGAAATATTTTAATTGTTGCCCCAACAAAGTACCTTACATGTACGATTTCTGATCTATAGAGCTGCTACGCATAAAAATCGGTTCAGTTTAATAATAAAAACACCTAACAGTCAAAACAATACCATCTCAGTTACGCATCGAATGTAAAATAATAATAATAATAAAACATTAAAAATTGGGAAAATTAATAACGGGTACTTACTAGTTAATCATGGGTAAATAGCTACTTTATTTATGATAAAAAAAATCAAAGAACCATGGCATTGGCCTAATAGTTAATATTTTTATCACAAACAACAATTGCGGAATAATGGTTAATATTATTTATAGTTCTTGAATTCGTTTAAATAAAACAGTATTCCAGTAACGAGTAACTCATGGTCAACTCTGCTCGTGTATAATAGAATATAAATTATATTTTTTTTAATAATACAATTTTTAATTTAACGTTTTTTCAGTGTTTTGAAAACGGTTCGCCTGTATACCGAAACATTTGTTTGTAACCATTGTAAATCAGTCAAATACCGTCACCGGACAAGTGTCGAGTAAGTATGCTCAAGTGTTAGTAATAGGTATTTTAAAAATAACAAAACCAATCGTTTGTTCTACAGAAAAAGGATTGGTACCATGCACAGCATTATGAAAATATAAAATCAATTTTTATCCACCGAGCCATTTTGGATGGATCCATAGCCAACTATGGAAAAATCTGTAATTTTAAAATCCTAAATCCAAAATCCCACATTTTTTTGTTAACCGGATTTTGGATTTTTTAAATTTGTTATTTTATGCATTTCTTATAATAAAACCATTATGATTTATTTTTTATTTTTGCAGTAAATTAAATATAAAACGACATAAAAACTAATTGTAACTAGAAATGTATTTAAAAAAACAAAACACAAATGTTTTAACCACAATTTAACGAGATGCATATAATATATTAACTCAATTTATCTATGTATAATATATTATATAAATTTGATAACAAAAACTATAAATATAAAAATACTTGTGTTGTGTTTCAAATTTGTTAGTACCTAGCAATGTTCATTTGGTACGTTATGGCATTTAAAAAATATATACATTTTTAATTGTTATTAGCAAAATTAACTTAAGTTTATAATTGTTTAATAGCCGTTCTACCGTACCTAAATAGATTGTTGACTAATAATATTTGTAGAGGTCATCCCATTTTGTGTACCTAATCGTAGATTAAGTGTACTACATTGTAGCCTGTGTTCGGATATTAAATATAATATATTATAACATTATATTATTACTAAAATATACTATACTTAATTTACGGTACATTATTATGCTGTATACGGATCGAATACAACAACAACTATAATATTATGTTATAATAGACAAAAAAAAAAATACACCCACTTAGTACCTACTTATAATTTAAATTTGTATTCAAATCCCATATAGCAATTTGATGTATTTTTTAAATACATCTAGTGAAATGCTGTATATGCGTGGACAGTTAAATACCTATAAAAATGTGGATTAAAAAATAAAAATAAATATATGATATAATATTTGTTTGACATGTTTAATCGATCAAAAATAATCTGTTATTAAAATATTGTTTTACGTATCATAATAAAATTATATAATTATAACACTATATATTACTTACAATAATTTTAAATTTGATAATCACATTGTTTAAACGGCCCATTTTTATTATATGAAATTGAAATGAATAAAAATTATATGATAATTATATGTAACAACAATTATTTAAAATTAATCTAAATTGTCAAAGTACAAAATATGAGCGAGTAAGATGAAATCGGTACAACAAACAGACGGACATTGTTCGTCTGTCGCTGAACAGTGCAATAATCTTTAAACCGATTATAAATGGGACAAAAGTCGAATTTCCAATTTTCGTTTATCTATTTTTATTATTACTTTTAGTGTATTGAAATGTAATTATAAACTGCTATCTGTGTATTCAATGTTTTACTGTACCCAAGTTATTTGAAATCTGGAATAGTCAACGCCATCATAACGCGGTGTTCACTTAAACGGTACCTACATTTAAAACTGTATAAAAAAAGGATTAGTATTTTTTTTTAATTTTAAAATAAAATGGATTAGAAAACAGAAGGTAAGCTCTATTTTTTCATGTACATGTCTAGTTGATGTATTTTTTTTCTTCATAAATACGCTTTAAAAATGTCCAATAACAAGGTAATATAATGTTCTAATTTAAAAAAAAAAAATGCATCAACGGTTTTATAAAAAAGAAATTCTAAAATGTAAGTTTTTAATTTACTTACATATGTAATATTATGTTATAATTCATATTATTATTTGTATTGAAATTTCCGAAAACATCTATTGTAAACCAAAATTAATAATTATGCTTTCCAAATTTTTAACCTGACCAGAATGTGTGTTTTTTTTTACAAAATTGTATGATAAAAAAAAATAGTTGTTTACTAATTTTTTTTATAAATTTGTGTCGACAAAATATTAGTATTGTCATTTGTCGTCTAAAATATACATTTTGATTTTTATTGTGTTAAGAACTGAATTGAACAGTTTAAAAATACAAATTCTGAAGTCCCTCATTGCGGATGAATCCTTCAACTTAACTATTAAATACAAAAATGTGAATTATTTACCTATCTAACTTATTGTAAAAATGATTAATAAGAATATATATATATATATATATATATATAATATATATATATATATATATCTTATTAATTGTGCGATAGAAAATGTAAACATATTCAAATATACTTGTATGCAATTAATGTGCTTGTGTGTACTTTTGGAAATAATATAATACTTGTGTAAAAATATTGAAAATATGTTTATTGAAACTTCATCCTTGTTATTGATCGCAATAGTGCAATTTTATAACAACAATTCAATTTTTTAGTATGCTTTGATTTTCATATTTTTGACAAAACTTGACATTGGCGTTTTTTTAACCAAACTGTACACAATTTGATTTTTTATGAACATATTTCAACTAGTAAGGTTCTTGGCAGAAATTTATTGAAATTATTTTTTGCGTTTTTTAACTATTATTTTTGGACTCATTTTATGACTCACTAGCCACCTTATTACACATATTATTATGTGTGTGTGCAAAATTAGTCAAAATGACTTTTATGTACAAAAGTGACACTGGCATTTTTTTGTTTTTTTTTTCAATTGTCAATCGTGATATTAGTTGTAAATCAATACAAATTATTTGCGACTAAAAAAAAAAATTGGTTTTATATTTCATTAAAATTTTTGTTAGGTTACTGATTTTCAATTGTCGTTCTCCAACATGGTAATATAGTTACAAAAAAAAAGTTAAATAATAGTATATAGTATATTAGTATGTTTTGTCCCCTTACAAATTATACCAACACAATTTTCAATGTTTTACCTATTTAAATTTTCCAAAAGAGTAGCAAGCTTAGACTTATCCGCCCTAAAAAACAAACATCACAAAAGTTTTAAACGTATTATAAAGAAATGGACTGCGTCTCCTTAGAAGGGATAGAAATGTTTTCTTTATTTCACTTTTTCAAGTAAAGTTTTAAAGATTTAAGTGTGAAAATTAGACCGAAGGTAGGCCTAGAACAGAACTACAAAATATACAATTTTCTCGAAAACTTCTCAAACTTTTTTTTATTAAGGAAAACCCAAAAAATAGGGAAAATTACACTTTGTGAGCGTAGTTAATTTCTAGGTTACTAGGTGTGAGTGAATCAACAGTCAACAGGTTATGAAAATATTTTCATTATTATGTTCATATGGAGTGTTTTGTATAGTATGGTATGCCCTCTATGGGGCAGAAACATGGAAGATATTCAAAGTAGAAAGAAAAACGATCTAAGCATTTGAAACATAGTGCTGGAAAAGAACACTGGAAATTCCTTGGACAGAAGGAGTAAAAAAGAAGAAGTTTACATAAGAATGAACGAACGGAAAACAATCAGAGAAAGGAAGGGAAACAGAATGGGACATATGAAACAATGAATGGATAACGACAATAGTTGAAGGAAAGATTGAGGTAAAAGCTGGAAGAGATAGACCAAGAACTCAATTTTTCAAACAGATCATAGAAGACATAGGAAAAACCACCTACAATGAACCATAAGTAGCCGTGATTGATAGGGACGAGTGGAGGTCCATCAAAGTCATTAAATCAATCTAAGGATTGAAAAAAAAAAATTGGCAATTTATTTTTTTGTAGTACAGACGAACAACCCTAATCGCATCGACCCTAGTACTAAACATTTATTTTAGAACACATAATTGTCATTATATTCAATGCTTTTATCGATATTTGTATTTTTATCTGTGAACACAGAACACTGGACTGCCTTTACTTGCTTACTTACCACTACTTGCTAGTACTACTTACTTTTGTATAATACTTTCTTGCTGTTATCAGTATGATTGTCGACCGGGTCGGGTAGTGTGTAGAAAATTTGATAAGGACTTTTCCTCAAACGATCAACGACCATAATATTATATGAAAAATTCAATAAAATAACAACAGCAGCATCCGATTCATCGTCATTAAATCGTATTATTGTAATACAATTATTTATTATTATTATTACTGTTGTTGGCCGAACGTCAGGCAATGTCGTTAAGCGGTCCGAAATCCGATGATAATAATTATTGATATGATAACTGATAACGTGGGTGTCATCATTAAAACGCCTTGTTTAATAATTTTTCAATATTGTAATTTGTAATTTGCATTCGTGTCCCGCGAATAAACACTGTAATTAAAGTTATTATTATTATTTCAATAGACATAACAATAATTAGTTACGAGACTAATGTGCCAGCCGATGGACGACCATTAAACGAACGGTTCGACTAATAATAATAATTATTATTATCATCATCATCGTTATACTCGCGTCGTAATATAAAATTGAATTCATTAACATCATTACAAACAAATTCATTCATTGGACATTTTTCAGCTTTACGGTTTGTACTGCTCGATTGAGACGACCCGGTTGCACTCAAATCAGTCTTAGCCATCGAACAAGATTTTGGCACAGCCGAAAACGCATCGTTTCGAAATGAAATTCATCGAAGAGGTAACGTCTCATTGCCTCAATACACGCTTTTTATTTCATCTCACTCGTTTTCCTTTTTCCATGTTCAGATCAAACGGCGTTTCGGCGCAGCGGTTTACATAAGAGACGAACAAGTCGTCGACACCAAAATCTGTCAACTGGTCGAAGGCGGTGTTGAAAAATTACAAGTAAGTCGAGTTGCCTCTTGCGAAAAGTAACAATTGGTGTTAAATGTTATCTTTTTTTTTCGATCAGATAATATCGGATTTTGATCGGACAATATCAACGTCGGTACACAACAATGAGCCGACAAAGAGCAGCTTTTGTAAGTGCAAATATTTCGGAAGCCCATAAATTAACGTGCCCACATTGACCGTGTTGTTTGTTATCAATTTCATTAGGCGTATTCGAATCTTGTAGCAGCCTGACGGAAGATTACAAACAGAAGGCTCGCGAGTTGTACAATAAGTTCCTTCCTATTGAAGACGATCCTAACATGACGGTAGCCGAGAAATTACCTTACATCGAAGATTGGTGGCGACAAAGTGAGCGACTATTAAAAAATATGCGTTTTCGCTATGAAGACATCGAGCTGGCAGTCAAACAAGCAGATGTCAAACTTAGGTACTAATTAAAAATCTACTATTTTTTTTGGTTATTAGATATTAATGTATTTAAGTAAACAATTATTTTAATTTTAATATGAACATCACAATTAGAGTATTCATTAAATATGGTTACCATATTATAATGTTAATATTATTTTATAGTGTGCAAACAAATTTTCTCTCTTTTAATTAGTTAATAAAACAAGTTTATGTTCAACTATAATAATTAGACAATCAATATTTAGAGTGATTTGCAATAACACAATGCACATAATATAATATGTACGTTGAAATGACATCTGAAAACTAGCCAACGATAAAAAGCATTTGTTTTTTTCTTTTATAGAGAAGGAAGCGCTGAAGTTTTTCAAAAATTGTACAAACACAATGTGCCCGTGATTGTTTTGTCAGCCGGCATCGGCGACGTGGTAGAATTGACTTTGATCCATGAAAACCTGCTGACCGCCAACGTGTCTGTCGTATCAAATTTTCTCGATATTGCCGACGCGGACGACGGTTCCACTGTTATAAAAGGATTCAAAGGGTCCAAACTCATTCACGTTTTCAACAAAAACGAACACGCCTACTTAGAAAGCCACAGCAATGTACGCAAAGCCGCCATGACAACCACTGACGTCCACTGACGGTAGTAACTTATTTATAACGCCCGTCATGTTGCAGGACACCAAACTGAGCGGTCGACTCAACGTGATTCTCATGGGTGACTCGCTGGGAGACGCAAACATGGACGGCGGCATTGCTTACGACACTGTGTTGCGTATTGGTTTTCTCAACAGCGATGTGGTAAGCCGTAGATTGTGGATTTTGGCCGCTTACCATATATAATCGTTTTTATTTTGTGCAGGAAACCAAAGACGACCCGTATTTGTTACAATACGAGCGTGCGTTCGACATAGTCTTGGTCCAAGATCAAACCATGGGTGCGTTCGACTACTTATTGGAAGAAATCATCAACAACAGATAATGCAGCGGTTCAGCCGTGTACGTGTCGTGTGGTATTTTTTTTATTTAAAATTGTTTTTACTTTAACACCTAAGCGTAATATTGTATTTATCGATTCGGTGCTGTTTTTTTTTTTTCGTTACATAATAAACTTCAGTTATTAACTTAGTATAATAATTTTGACTAGCGTTTGTAACGAGTACATTCTTGTAAATTGTGTCGACGAAGACGACGGCGATCAATTTGTTGAGCAAAAAGTTAAATTGTTTTATTTTTATCTTTTTATTTTTCTCAAGTACAGTTTCAATAACGAAAATCCATCGCGTCAACTAGAATATTACGCTATTGAATTAACACAATATTACATACACACACGCAGACTTACGCTAAACTATTGCTAAAAAATTATTACAACAATAACAACAATATTGACAAACAAAAACAATTAAAATTACATTTAAAAAGAGAAAACCATGTACGACCAGGAAAACGGTGTACGTGCTATAACAATTAGTCGAATGTATTTTAAACTCATCGTCAATATTATAAACGACAACGTGTACGCAAATTTAATTTTTATCACGATGGCGACAAATTCTAGACGCTTACAGTCGATAAATATTGCCATTTTTCGTCATATAACTTTTGATACCTGCAAAAAAATATCGAAAACTCAATTCGATTAACATGGAAATGGTTGTACTCAATAATATTATAGAATAAAATCTAGTCAAATTATTTTAGTAGCTTTTATCAAAGTATTTTTAGTCATTTATTGTACCGATAAATCAACTGCGACTAAGTTTGTTTTAATATTAAGGATTTACAGTAAAAGAAAAAAATAAAGATTTTGTGCTATGAAATTTAATTCCAAATAGTAGCTCTTCGATTAAAATTGTATTTAAAATTAATTTGTAATTAAAGTTCCAAATATATCAGTATTGAATAAGTACACAACGGTTTAAAAATGTTTTTTAATGTGGTTTGGATTACAAAAAAGTAAAACGTTATCACATATTTTATGAAGTAAGTAAACACATTTTTAAATGAATCAAATTTTTTATACTTATTTAAAATTGAAAATGTGTTTTATTGCATTTTTTTTAAAATTATTGTTAAAGAACAAAATAATATCAAACTATTGGAATTATTATTCTATTGTCATTACCTAATATATTTATATGTATTTTACAATCAAATTGTTTATAGATGGTTGATTTAAATAATTATTATTAAACAATGGCCAGGTCTGGTTGGAAATCAAAAAAAAAAAAACTATATTGCACACACATGAAGTGGTGAAAATCTGAAGGGTTTAAGTGATTTTATTAAAATTTGATATTTAATGTAATTGTGGTACATGTTTTTTAAATTTATTTTTAAAAAATTAATTAATGACTGTAATACAAATCTGGATTAAATAAGATGTCATCAACAACGAAATCTGTATATTAAAAAAAAACTTAATGTTGTCATAATCAGGTGCCAATATTATATTTATGATTTAATATTACCGTTTATAACTATTATTGAACTGAACTGTTATTCTGTTAACTGTTTTTTTAATATAGTTTTTTTCTGGTAAAAATTAAAAGTAAATCGAGCCAATCGCGTTTAGTATTAAAGTAAAGTCAAACCTGCAGTTTCGCTGACATTGCCTATGCCCAGGATCGATATTTGATCTAGAAGTGTTGCAAGCGAGCCAGGTAGAGTGGATTTTGATTTGACCATAACGACCGGATTAGGTTTTTTGGCCGTTTGTGTATGCCACACCAAAATCTGCCAACAGAATTGTATAACATTTAATTTTTGTACACCCCAAAACGTCACGTTTAGGAGAGATCTACGATTTCAAATCCATACTCTTAAGCAAACAGTGTATTTTGATTTAACGGTACAACTTTACCGTTGTGGGAAAATATTGTAATTATAAAATATAGCTAACTAGTCAAAGCTACTTAACTATAAATAGGTTAATATTTATACTCGACAATCGCCTCTACTTATGGAAATTGTTTAAATAACAGTAATTTGGTAGTTTGTAATTCCCATTTGACTTTGACCTGGGGCGACAACATGAACACTATAGCCTGCTGATTACCTTGGTGCAATTTTCCGCTTTGGGCTCGATGTCTTCCAGCCGGACGCCCAACGCCATTAGGAAGCGATCCTCTTCGAAGCCAACTTGATAAGGCATGGTGGCATAAGGGTGTTGGAAGATCAGTTGAACGTTGACGGCGAACCCGGCCATGTCCACGGGGAACTTCCTCTTGGCCGGCCAACTGTCGAAGAACCCAACCACCTTACCCTGCGGACAATTTTGAAACGGTGGCTAGACAAAGAGTAAAATTACAAAGGCAGGGCGCAATGGCAAGTGTTGACGAGAAAAGCTTATAAAAGGTGACTGCTGAAATTCTAAGATCGAAATTGACTGTAAAAGCAAGGTCCAATGCTGACTGCTGCAAAGGATACTTGCCTGCTGCTGAATGATGCTGGTACCTAGCCAAGTCATACTTTGTCTATTATTGGTGAGCTGACGCCGTACTCTCCGACCAGGCCCACGGGAAACATGGAAATCTTCTTGGTGGTCCGGATCTCTTTGAACAGATCCAAGTGGAAGGTGTTGTCGTCGTCGCCAAAGTAAACCACCGCGTTGGGGTCGGCCCTGTCGTGGTTGTGCCGGATCCAGTCCAGCGCGGCCCTGCGGTTGGACACCCCTCGGGGCAAGGCCGCGGCTTTGCGCCTGTACACGGCCGGCATTGGACTGGCCACGTGCGTGTAAGGTATACCTGAGAGAAAACAAAATGTATTAGCCAGGGATAAAGGACAGCCGCAAGAGTTGTATGCCTCCCTACCAGAGCGCTGTAGGTCCAATACTTGACACCCTGTACTACTTACCGAAGTCGGGCAGCAACGCCGTCAGCTGTTGGCTGCAGTCGGGTCGGTCGTCGGCCACGATCCAGTGGATTCGGGGCACGAGCATCAGGGTCTGACCGAGTCTGGTGAGTTCGGCTATTTGTTCCCGGCGAGGGTAAGTGGGCGTTATGAAGTATATCAAAGCCGGCGGGGAGGTGCTCGTGCCCTCGACCGCAGCTCTGGCTGAGGCGTTTGTCGGCACCGAATCGTCGGTGTAATTGGTCTGGTCGGTGCTACGAGCGGTCAGCATTAACTGACGGTCGCGGTCGTAGCCTGGATCCTGTAAAGCAAGAAAGACTGTCAAAAAAATAACGTTTTTATTTCTCAAGGAAAGACATAATATCTGGGTAGTCCCGGAGGATCACGCTTTTCTCTCCCTTCCCTGGTGACGCAAATCACCGGACAGTGATCAGTATTTTGTATAAATGTATTAATGTATTTACCAGCGGTCCGTGCACCTCGCAAACGGTGTAATCGCCCTTGTCACGTTGGGACGGCTGCGGACGGGACGCCCCGAACGACCTGTACTTGGCGGCCCGCTGGCGGTCGTGCTCGCCGGCCGCGCTGGCCGCCGACGACGAGGACGCGGTGGCCGCGCAGCAGGCGGCCGTCAGGTAATTGTTGTAATAGAACACGGCGGTGGCGGTGCTCATGGCGGCCATGGTGAGCAGCGCGACCACCATGTTGTTGCGTTTCTTTTTCAACGGCATTGCGCGTACACTACGCGTGGCGGCCGCTCAAGCGCACGCTGCTGCCGACGGCTCGCGTGTTGTCCGCGTCATGTCACAGCAGTGGCGGCAGATTCGCGGGCGACAATACCACCGTGTTGGGCGTGTGCGGCGGCTTACCGTCGACGGTACTGCTGGACGACGGAAGCTGCATGTCAAACCGCTTTGTACAACGATACTATGTGACGACAATATTATTTTTCACCTATGCCCAATTGTCCACAGTTTTGTACCTGAAACGATAGATTAAAAAGTCAATTAAATCAATTATTAACACAATACAGGGTGATTCGCAAATTAATAGACATGTAGTTGGGAGTGTAAGGGCTAAGGGGAAAATAAAGAAGAAGAAGAAATAATTCATTCAATTTGAATGGTATTAAAATTTAATATACAGAAGGATATATTCAGAATGTTAATGAATATCTAAATATAAATAAATTTACCTTATATTTAGCTTTGATTTTATAAATGACAACATTTTAGAAGGAAAAAAGGTGAAACCGCTTTACTGTGGCCATCCCGTGTACACACACTGAGCCATTATAAAAAATTACATAAAGACTTTTTTAAATAACATTTTTAAAAAATGTTTAAATATAAGACAAATAACAAACAATTATTTTTGCTTTATCAAACTTAATCTCGGTATTTTGGATTAACTATTTAAAATATAACCTAATGTATATACCTATTATGGTTAATAGTTTAACAATGAAAATCAGTGGGGCGGTGATATATATTTGTCTCGCCGTGCCCTTGTCTCAGTCTACCTTAAAGTACTTTTATTTACAAAAACTCACTTTTCTCAAAGTCATAAATACAAATATAAGACAATCGCATTCATACCATAATATGGAAAACAATATTTAAAATAAAATGAAACTTGTTTTACATATTCAAATAGAGGTACATTATATTATTTTGTTATGCGTTCCAAACAGTAATCTAAATTGTTATTATTTTTATTTTTTTTATTTTATACACAATAACATTATAATGATATAATAATATTATACTGTGAAATCCGACCAACAGCTAGGTCGACCTAGACCTTATGATAGGTAAAAATAGATAAATAAAATATAATAAACTCATAATTCATAAATCAACTCATAGTTCATTCGAAAAAACGTTTTCTAAATAATCATCGAGACATTTTTAACTATTATTTTTATTTGCATCCAAACAGCTATTGTTTGTGTATTTTCAGGTATACCAATATACCTATACATAACGTTGTCATATCAGGTTAGACCTGCCCGCCTACTCTAAAACAGATCAACCGCAGTTGACCGTCGCAGAATAGCTTGTCTTATTTGGAAATGTCTTAGGATCCATTGTGAATTTAAAAAAATTATTTTGTGTACTTGGTTTGGTGGCTAATCGACGTTTGTCCATCTATTATAATATTTACTACATTATTGTCTGGTTGGTAAACATGTAACATGATAAGAACTCATATTTTTGATAAGGGATTTCAATGATTATTTTTTTATTATTTATGGTTTTTTAAGAACTAATTAATTTTATTAGCTTTAAAATGTTTTATATTCAGAAGATGTTAGTGGTTTTCCCATATCACAGCCGGCCAAGTATAAAAATTTATATTAAAAAAAACATTTTGTTTTTATTTTTATTAAAAATATAAAACAATATTGTTTTTTTTTTCAACTGGACGAGATTAAATCGAGAAAAGCCTTACTACGGTGATACGTATAAATTATAATATTATATAATTTTTAATTAGATTAAAGTTCGTTGGACTTGGCTACTCCGAAACCAGATTTTATTTTTAACGATTCCGGTTTGTGGCAATCAAACGAATGGGTAACACGTTTGCTATTTTTTCAACCTTAAAACGTACAATTTTTATTTATACTAACTCGGTTAGGACGACCCGCGTTTCAGTTGAATTTTATAGTTATAAATAAGTATATAGATTAGCCAAAGTTGTTGGCAGTATTTGCAAGAATCACGACTCATTAATTAATAAAAAAAAATAATGGGTAAATCCGTTTTAATAGATAAAACAGTAAACACTGAAAAATATAAACGTAGGTATAAAATGTAATATAATATTATGTAACGTCATTGTGCCATAGGTGAATAATAATTGTTTATAAGCAAGCGAGAGGCCCTCGAGGTGCTAAGACCAAGGCCTAAGTCTAAACTTAAAAGAATTGAATTACTCAAAAATGTAGGTAAGCTAAATATCAGCTTGATTGTGCATTTTTTTTTTTTAGTTTTTAATTAATCGCTCAGGCGTTGTCGTTTGGTTTTCCCAAAACGATTTGAAACATAACAAAAGTCAAGTTGAAAAAATGCTATAACACTTACTTAGTCAATGGTGGTCTATTTACAAAAAAAAAACTGATTATGGTACCTAAAATGTAATACATTGTTTTGTTCATTTTTCATGGCAATACATTGCCTTGTTTTTAGTCTTGAAATACATTTTCTAAACTCATTGTCTTCAACTTGGCCTTATTTTCAATTCAACATTTTATCAAAACAATGGTGGTTCCCGACGATAATATATTGTAATAAATTCTGAATAACACAGTAGTAAAGTTAAAACCAGGTTTGATTTAATTGAAGAAAATACGAATCAACTATTATTGTCATTGAAAAAAAAAGTAGAAATAACCGACTTAAGTCCAATTTTTGTTATTTACTTTTGATATTTATTTGTAATTGTTTTTCCATTAGGTTTAAAATGTTCTATGTAAAACACGGTTAGAAAAATAACTCAAAATATAGAGCAAAATACAGACAACAACATGTTATAGCTATTATGATTATTGTTATATCACAGGATTATCTTAATTACCCAATAATTGTTTTTTAGCTTTCAATTTTCATTTTTATTTATCAACGTAAATGCGTATTTGCTAATCCACTCTAATAATATCCGACTTTCTGATATAAATTTATCTTGAACAATTTCCATTATGTTTAAATTAGTGCTCGGTGTAAAGCCGATTGAAAAAAAAAAAATTTAATGTAGAGAATATTGAAAAAAATGCATATTACATCCATAATTGTTTGAAACAATTTAAATAGTTTTATATTAACTTCACAAAATTTATAGAAAGTGTAAATAGTTATTGTAATATGTTAGAATATGGAAAAATGCTCACTAATAATTGTCTTAGCTTTAAATTTGAATTTTTTGTTTTATTATAAAAATGCATTGTTAACATTTGAATTAAAAAAACTGAGATAATTTTTCTTGAACAATTTCCAATAGGTTTAAATATAGTGCTTGATATGATGTAATACACAGTTGAAAAAATAATTTTTAAAAAAATATAGAGAAATTTAATATTGTTTCAAACGGTTTTTATTTTAAATTTAATTTCTTCGAAACTGAAAAAAAATGAGTTGTAAATACTCGATTAAATTACTTTTTTTTTTCTTCAATGGAATCCGACCGGTTATTTTTAAAAATATATTATTATCTTTAAGGAAAACGTCGTTCGTCGACATTGTTGAATTGCTGCTGCAATGGTATTGCAAGTTAAAATAATATTACTTTAGTATTAAAAAATATGTATATAAATATAATAATAAAATCTTTACCGTTTTTTTTTTTTTTTTACAACAAGTACAACAACAACAATCACGTGGCTCAAACGTTGATGACGAACAACCGTTAAGAAAATTACAAGTACACTCGAGTATGAGAAAAGATTTTTGGAAAAGAAACCATTTTTTTTTTGTTTTTCAAATTTGAAACGACCGAACAGCTATAATGATATTATGTACTCGTCGGCCGTGTACTCAACGCGAATAAAGCGAGACCATTTTTTTATTTTTTGGTTTTTGTTGTTCGTCCAACCGTCTGCGAACGTCGTCCCGGCCGGACAGAGATCGGCGTGTGTCTGCGTGTGTGCGTCTGCGAGTGTATGTGTCTGCGTGTGTGTGTGTGTGTTTGCGCCCGTGTCCGTGTCACGGCTAATGCCCATAATATCCAGCTCTGTGCGAACGGATGGGCGGCGGATGTTCGGGCGAAAATATTATAAAAATAGACGTTCGCCTGGTCGGACGGCGAGCGCATACAGGGTGATTCGAGTCGACGTTTTACGTTTAATCGAAATGAGTTGGAAAAAAAAAACCATTTTTAGATTTATATTTTTTGTAAGGAATTATTAATTTTTTTCATTCGTAGTCACTGCATCGCTCTGTATACGCTCGTTCTAAAGGAGATATTTTTTTTTACCTATTAGAAGAAAGCCCACAGCGTAGAAGGACTAGGTAGGAGGGAGGTGGTCCAGAGTAGTCTGAAAGGTAAATTTAACTTGCATAAACTAAAACCTTTTATTTTAAATTTAAATTTCACATCCGTTTCAGATGTTTTGTCAAAAAACCCTCTCGGTTATGTGGTGGAAGGGGAGGGATTTCGATTTCGTTGAAAAAATTCAAGGGGTAGTTTTTTTGTAATTTTGAAAAAAAAACAATTAAATATCAAAATATGTAGATTCCCCATTTTCCTGTGTTGATATCATACCTTGTTGTTATACATTTTGGCCAAACGTTGAGGTTTAGTGCAAATTTTCCCGTACAACACAATGCGCATTAAATAGAAAATCTATTTAATCAAATAATAACATACCTATACGGGGATTGCATGCGGTCTGGTTTTAAGGAGTTTGGTATAGGCGATATTTAAGAAAATAGAGGTTATGACCTTTAACTGGATGTTAACAAACCACCGGTCATTTAGACGAATTTATAAGAATACAATTTTTTTTTTACTTGATACCCTTTAGAGGTGCTACTAATGAGTGGTTTCCTCTCTCATGTTTTTTCTTGTGTATTTTACTATTCTATACTCAAATTCACTTATTGTACTGTGTATTGTACAGATTGTAAATAAACAGAATTTTTTTAAATAACCGCTCGCGATCATCTTTTGGTAAAACTATTTGGCTGAATTTTCTTTTTAGGCCACCGTGCTACGTGGCTGTTTGACAGCTATTTTAATATACGGTCATCGTAGGTAAACGACCGTGCTGGTCCCGGTCGGTACTTAAATACATCAAAAAGCCCACCAAGGCCGGCAAATAATTATCATCATTATTATTCATGCGCAAAGGTGTAAGTACAACCGCCCACAGTGACAACCACACGGTGTAAATTTTTTTTTTTTGTAAACCCATTACGAATTTTGGCGTTTGAGCCAAAAAAAAAAAAAAAAAATGAAACGTATTAAAATAATGTTTAACTGTAATCGCCTATACGGTACAACACATACAGGGTGACCCATCTGATGTAAGACACTCATTTTGAAAATTTCCCATTAAATAATAATATCGACCACGATTAGATCGATAAGGTCTGCTAATTGTCTATGATTATCTCAAAACATTTCACCGTGTCTTGGTAAACATGAATTTTATGGGCTACTGGAATTATTAGGAAAACCGAAGACATGATAATCATAAGGCGAAATATAATATCTTTCCAACACAAATGTTGTCTACATATTAATGGAATTAAAAACACATGTTCCCATATAAAAAATCGATATTCTTACTTGTAGATTTTTTAAACGGTGCATATGAAACTACACACCTGAAAGAATTCCGTGCACGCGACTGAATAGGTAGTTTCTTTTTTTGACATGCCCGTTTGTAATAATATATAAAGTCATAAAGACTAAAAAACAGTAGCGGCGCGGCGTTAATGAATGGGTGTCTAATTTTTTTTGATGCTCTTTGACACGCATGAGAATATTCTTTTATTAATTTCTACATTACTGTTTCTATTGACATGAAAAAAAAAATACTAGTAAACAAATTAATTAGGTACAATATACAATGTACCGTAGCGTGTCTTAGTAATGATATACTTGTTACTGTTGTCTGTATACTTAATACAATATTCAATATCAATAAACAACACCTGCAAATCTAGCACGGCGCCTATGCCAAAAGATCTTCTGTGCATGCAAAAGTTCTTTTTTTACATGCGCAAAAATGAAGTTAGTTTTCAGGCGTGATATTTAGAAATTAAATATGTTTACTAGTAGCCCAATAGCGTATACTGCTTGTAGTCATAACTAATCTTGAAATCTAAGGCGTGTGCTACAGCATAGTCTCTGTAATAGGTAGGTACTATTGTTTGGTATATATGGTATCGGAACCCATAATTGGCTAGTTTGCATGGAGTAAAATGTGTTAGAGGAGGGCAATGAGTTTTGGGTGTAATGTATGTTCCCAAACTTGATCTCTGTACCAATTTGCACTTTTTTCAAACGGGTTATTATCAAATTTGTGTTCTACAACATTCAACCGGTTTATGTTCAAAAAACAACTCAAGTATATGATCTCTAAACTCTTGCGTCGCTACAAAGTAAAATAAAAACTGCTCGTTAAATTTAAAGAAAAAACCACGCAGACATAAAAAACATAATAATTGGTCGATACACAGGCCGGTTGCTCTAATTCGTATCTATGTTGAAAATATATTTTAAAAGTAAGCGACAGAGAAATGTCTAAAAAAACAACAAGGCCTGTAATGTGTTATGCGAAGACACCCAAAGACAGCTGCATCGTTCAATTTAGATATAATATTATAGTGTAACGTATTTTAAAGAAATTCATATTATTATGTATTGACCGACTATTTTATTTTAAAGTCGATGGGGGGAGGGGGGTTTAATTTAATTAAAACGGTTTACCTCGTTAAGACGCTTCGTTGAGTGGATCACATTTTTTTTTCATACTTGGCCGACTGCTAGAATTGCCAAGATTTATGAACCGGACGGTCGGTATAAGTATAATAATAATAATAATTGGGCTCGGACGACTGACGGTTTTTTTTTAGTATTTTTTTAATTTTTTTTTTTTAAGAAACGATTTCACACGGTTTTTTTAGTCGACCGACGCACGTCTCTCTCACTCGCACTCTCTGTACAACATTATTAGGTATATTATTATCATGTTGTGTACACACATATCATCATTACTCGGTTGGCGATCATACCTAAACCGCAGGCTGCCCGCAGGTTAATTAAAAAAAAACAAACAACCCGAAATAAAACACTATAGCCACGGGCGTAGGTATACTGTGTACGATGGTAAGGCGTAGTAACATAATACAAGAGATTGACGTGCACAATAATAGCGACGGAGGAGACAATAGAACAGAAATAATATAGCCAAGACACACTGCTCGACGTCTTCGAGTAAGAGAGGTAGTAAAACTAACGACGTACGATGATTCGGGATTGTTTTTCGTTAAATTTAAATAGCCAATAATATCCAAGTCTCTGACAACGCAATACAACAAGTAACAACTATACCTATAGTAGTAGGTACATAATATAATACCTCTCTACTTGAATTGCATGACTCCGGAGTATTTCGGATAATCGGCATAGCCACGGGTCGTCGACGACCTAATAGTCACTGTTTGCACAACGCTTTAATGGCGGTATAATTACCTGGTAAAAAAAAAATTGTGCAATAACAACTACAATCGTCCCACAGGTCTGTACGGCTATCAGCTATCTACCTAGGTATGTAAAATGTACCGCCGGATGGGTACAGTATATTTTATTGTATAATATCTTAATCCGGTTTTTGGGTGCTGCGCACAAACCTGTCTGTAGATTTGCGGACATCTCAAAAGCAGATCTCAAGTATCAAGGTTTTCCAAACCAAAGTCCTCGGCTTTAGCGGCCGATCAAATCCGCAGGATCCGACACTATCATCTTGAAAAATCATCGAACCGAGTTAAGTATAAGTATGAGGGTACTCACGGCTTGGTCGGATTCCTCGTGTATTTGCACTCGGGTTGCGTGCCAGAGAAGCACTTAAGACCGGAAACGCTGGTGGGGTATTCGCGTGGCAGCTGGATTATTCGATGGGTGTTCTTTTTGTTTTAATTGTTTACACCGGCACTGGCGACTGAACAATACGGAAAGACCCGATCAACCACCACCAGCCAGCCAGCAGCAACCGGCGGTGGCCGTCATCGTCGTGACGGCGAAGGCGATGACTAACCTGACCGCCGTGCCTGCCTGCCTGCCTGTTTGGCCGGACCATCTCTCTATCTCTCTCTCTGCCAGTCGTGTGATCCCCCTCTTGTCCTCGTCCTGGCTGGTCGGCGCACTCGTGGGCGCGAAGAGCGTGAGACTCGTTTCGGTTAAACGTGAACAAAATATACTTCGTACGTTTATCACGGCGATCGAACATGGGAGATAATGAAATTAACGACGACACCAAGGTCGTACTACCGTTGGTTCGAAGTCTATCCCGGGTAATCGGTTCCACGACACCGACAAATTACCACAAAATAGAAACCCACCAGACACAGTCCAAACCAACATGATCACTGGTATTAGTGCTGTACACTTTGCTAGTTTAGACTGTACTGGTTAAGTTGTACTTGGGGGTTTCCTGGTTTTGGAGTTGCAGTAATTGCCCTTTTCCACCAGTGTACCAATCGCATACGGTTTCGGATTCCTACTCGAGTAAATCGGTCCAGAAGAAAAAGAGTTGTACCGATTAGAGACACAAAATGCATGCCTTTGGCCTCTTGTGCCTACCTACCATCCTTATGTAACCTAACATCATCCATCTAACCTAAACCTAATCTAATTTTTGAATTTCGTGTCTGATAATTGAATGCGCAGTTTGTCGCATTGTCAGTTGACGAGCTCTTCCTGACACCGACAAAGCACACACCTATTGGCTAAAAGGGTTAATACTGCATAAAGCGACATTACTAACCACTTCCCAGGGAAGGATGTCAAAGTTCCTCGGATAAGCGCCTGAAATCCGGATGGAGAAATTGAAGACAACAACCAAAATGGGTAAACAGCGTTAGGGATTCTGGCTACGAAAGATACAATTAGACCGGGCAATCAAGATGGAACCGGGAGAGAAGCATACAGAGTCACGTGAAAGACTCGAGAGCTAACACAATCAGTTAAGTTATTCAACGACAAACGTTGCCTACATAAATTACACATTCAGACTCTAATAAAGTCCTGATCACACATAACCCAAGCCAATGTAAAACAAAACCCTTTCTCCCTTAAAAGGGACCCTTTGCGTTTGAATGGGAGAGTACATATACATATTATGTACTGTTATGTTAATGCGTTTGCATCACGTTGTATGCTAATAATTTAATTAATCTGTATTAATCATTTCAAAAGTATCAGGGCAAACGTGTTGTCGGTGTTTACTCTACTAGGAATATGCATGTAGAAGGTCTTTATAATGAGAGTAACACTCACGCCCTCGTAGCTTATCATAAAGGGACACATCTGAATCAAGCCTGAACTTCATTACTCATGTATTAATACACTCCTCTGAAGTCTGACGAATCCTTTGTCTTCCGCTGTAATAAATAGATAAGATTTCTTCAAATGATTAGGTGATTTTATAAATGTCTCGACGAAATACTTTTGCACTTACTTGGGTAGGGCTTTGTCTTTGCGACTCATAGATTTTAGATATCTATTGTATTGTTATTAGTTAGACATCCAACATATATGGTCACAATGTTAATAGCGAAGGGTATAATGATATTATGTCAACGATTGTTTAATATATTATGCTATCTGCGTTACAGGAAATACGTGTTAGGTAGTCGAGGAGTCAATAATAATAATATGATGATGGATTGTTGTGTGCAGTTATTTTGCAATAGATTAAACGCATTGACCTTACTCCCATTACAGACTATTAGCTGGATGTCTGACAGTATATTTAGTTAAGCGATTATCACACAGTTCCCACTCTACCCCTGCATACAATTTTTTTCAGTATACAAATATATTTTGAAGAAAAAAAATTGCCTCAATTTACTTGGACCATCAAAAACACAGAAATACTATTGAATAAAGTCTAAATGCCCAAACATATTTGGAACGAAAATAGTTTTAATTATTAATAACCAAATACAAATATACTAATAGTATACTAATCGGTTATTAACTGTTACTAATAGTTTACTAATAATATACTAATAATATTAATTTAAAAGTAAATTAACTATATAAATTATGCCTACATTTTGTTTGCTACTAAATAATTTTTCTTCCGGTATATTTGATCTTGAACCGTGGTAAATAAATATATTTTGTAATTGGTAAGAATATACCTACATTAATTATAGGAATTATATTTTTATAGTCATTCGCTAATGTTGAAAACTACTTATTGTTTTTTTTTATTATTTACCAGTAGCCGTTCTCAGCAGTTTGGCTTGAAATTTAACAAGTATAATTTAGCCTAATGAATGTCTATAGTAATTTTAGCAGTATTAAACTATATGTTTAATTTTCAAGCTAAACTGACTGGAACGACCAGTCGTGTTTTAATATATTATGTAACGGTCTAAATTTTTATTAGAAGTCGAAGGTTATCTTTGAGCGAATATAACACCGACAACAATTATTAGATGCTGTCTTCGATATAAAAAAATATGTTCATGTACAATTTTTATTTTTAGTTACTTGCATTTTTCAACCGCTAAACTTGTGATAAAAATATTTTTCTGGCATTCAAACTTATTGCTGACCTCGCCTAGCCAAAGTTGCTTTATTCTACACCACTGTTGTACTATCCAAAGTCTCTAGAAGTCCAACAGCTAAAATTTTGAAGGCAGTAATAAAAAAAAATAGTTAGTAAAATAATTAAATACACATTTTATAGAAAAAATGTCCTTAGAGTAAAACTTTGATCACCCTGTATGTAAAATTTTTAACTAACCGTTCCTGTTTTAATTTTATTCGAAGTAAATTACATAAATTATTAAATATCAATTATTTATTTATAAAACAAATTACAATTCAATCGGTTCAAAGTCGTTGTTACTTATTTTTAAAAATGTTCAAAACAGTTCCAAATTGGTATGGAATATTTAAAGCCTGAAAGTTAAATTTAAGATAGAAACATTTAGTGGGGTTACAATATTATTTATGTTAATAAAATATAATATTAGAAATAATTTTGCTGGTAGTATGTATAAGTAAAAAATCGTTAATTATTTTATGCAAGTTATTATTTAAGAGGATTACATGTGATCTGTTTTTAAGGAGTTTTATATAGGCAATATTTTAGACTTAAAAGAGGTTTTAATAAATTTCGACCGTAACAATTAGTTTACCTGTCAATTTGTGTACGCTTGAAGGTATTTTTTTAAATTTAAACAATTTTTTCTATGAGTAAAAGCCATTTTGGTTTATTTTAGACAAGATGACAACTATATGTCTACTACATAGGATGTCCAATTTTAATTCTGTAAAGAGATCTAGAGTTCTTCGGCTAATATACTATATAAGAAACCGATTTTCATTTGAAAATTTCAGTTTCTTGTAATTAAATAAATTGCACATTTTCAATGTAAAAACCAAATTTGCTTACATAAAAAAACGCTAACAATCAAAAATCTGTTTCCTACATAGCGTAGTAAAGATGCCAAAGAACTCGTGTACCTTTGTAGAAATGAAACCGGACCATCGTAAGTAGTCGAAATTTCGTTTGGACTTTTGGTCTAAAACTAAATCTTGCTCGATCGCTTCCAATCCCCTTTTTAGTGTAAACGTTTTATGAACAGCGTATGGCGTACAAATCCTTAACACTACAGCAGCAGTACCCATTGATAAAATATATCCAACTAGAACAATAATTTACCATAAATACACGAACCTAGCTGTATAGCCAAAGGCGATGGTTTTGATTTCAATTTACAGATACGGAATTTCTTAAAAAAAATGGCGGGCTTTTTTTTTTGGTCGTTGGTAAAATGCCTTTGGTAAACACTGAGCTGGCGGCAAAGGCTGTTCCAATAATCCGCAGTGTTGCCAACCGTGGTGATCGATAAGCGCCCCAGTGTTTGTTTGTGTGTGTGTATACAACACGAACGACGTAAACAATGTACTTTATGTACTTTATTTCCCACACCATATTGTACCGAGCTCGCTCGGCCGGCTGTTATCATTATTATAGCATTTTAATTTTATTTAATCAACAACAGTAGTTTATTATGTTTTCCGTTCTACGTACGTGCTTTGTTATTCACGATGCCCGTCAACATAAGGTACGTACAATGTATACTTTATAATATAAAGATATTGTTGAATAACATGTAACTTTCTCTGATCAACACCTAACATATTGTACAATAGCAAACGATATTATATACATATTAATAGGTATAAACCGTCGAATACCCGTTTGCCATTGGACAGATACGCGCGTATAAACCTTTAAATGTACAAAAATGTTTTTTGGCCGATATTAGATTTTGTCCGACTCGAAAATGTACTGTTAATGTATTGGTTTTCCCGTGAAATTCAAGTATAAGTAACCTATAGTTTCAGTATTGTTAAACCACCCTCGAATTTTGACGATAGTGTCTGCTTTTTTTATTACATAACCGATGTTCATTATTGTTTATTTATTGCAAACTAACTTTGACAAATATACTATTAAGCAAGTAATGTGTAACGTGGATAATATTCATAATACAATCAATAGCGCTCTTTAAATATTAATTGTCTATTTTTTATTTTATTTTATAAATAGCGGTTACTTGAGGAAATTCAAGTTTGTTTTAATAGTTTTTTTTTTATGGGTTTTTTCAGCCAAATTACACGGCAGGCTTTTCCGAGCCAGTCAGTCGACGCTGATTAAACTCCAACTGCGACATTCTCTTAAACGGTACCTTCTTGAATTTACATTACAACTTTTTTTTGTCAACCGTTTGTCAACAAAATGTTTGCGAATAATCGACGACGGTTTTTGTTTTCAGAGGATTAACACATCACAGCTAACCGTGTCGGCTAATCGTCGTTGTTAGTGTGCAAAATTATTCTTACAGTACCAACTTGTTACAATTGTTTTGAACTGGGCTGTGCCTGTACCGGACAAAAGATAAAAACACAATTTTTGCCATTAATGCAACGCCGCCTGTCCGACGACAAGTCAACCAACAGACGTGTCGGTTAAATCCAGATACAGCTGTCTATGCAAAAATATGTCCACCGTTATTGGCAGCTGTCAGCAGACGTTCTATGATGGCAATCTAGGAAAGTATATATTTCACGGAATTGATTCGATTGACCGAAAATCTATCCATCGACACGGTGGTGGTGTTGGACTGTGAATATTTTGAGCTCCTTTTCAGTACCTATCCTTTGGTTTGCCGTCGTCAAAGGATCACATAATACATTTTATTATAGTCCACGCCGTATGGAAAAGGTTGTCGACATGGGCAGAGACGATTCGGCCGAGTTCTTCCATAAAGCAATTGGCCAAAGTAGTAAAAAACCCGCCAAAATCGAGTTCAAAGTGCCTCATGTCCGTGACCGGTTTCGAAAGTCCGGCAAGAAAGTCACCAAGAAATATGTTGACGACATGTCCGACTTGAGAACAACAAGTGAGCCGGTCGCATAGCGCAAAGCAAACTTTTCCCAATTTATTTGCTTTTCAGAGTGAAGAAATATATTTGTTCGTTCACGAATGGCTATTTTTATTAAGGGGCAAAAGATAGGCAATATCTGAAAAACTCCCATCTGATTTATTAGAAAAAAAAACTATAAAAATATAAACGGTTATAATTTTTAAAACAAAACGGGCTTTTTAGCTACTACAGAGATGTTAAACTTTATACCAACCCAATTTTCGAAATCGGTTTTGTACACACTTTAGAAAGTGACATCTCGTTTTAATATTTATTCTTTTGAAATTTGGAGCTTTCCTTAATTCATTTTTTCAACGCAATTGTTTTTTTTTTGCATTTCTAAACTATTGTTCTATGCAAAACTTATTTTTTTCCACAAAATATGAATTTTAGCCTTGGTAAAAATATAAAAATGAGTATAATACTTAAAACAGTGCAATAAAATTATGATCTATGTTATTAAAGTCATAGTAAATTTTTTTAAATTAAAGTAAAGTAAAATAACAAGTATCGACTACATAATTATTAATACATAATAGGAGTATTGACTCGGGTACTAGACAATCAGAATAAGTTTAATTCATATAAAAGGTAATAGGTTAGGTTAGGTTATCAAAGTATATTAATTTTATTTATAGTATTTTTTACGATATGTTTCAACTAATGGTTTAGTGACTTTAATCTTAATCGTTTAAAATATCATTACCAAAATCTTTATCTTTAACAGATGGAATATTAAAATACCTACTTTAACAATGCTTTTCCATCAACTTTTACTAAACCTATGTTTTCTAAATTTGCAGTTTTAAGGACAGGTACAGTTCTAGTACTCTCCGTTAATTGAAAAATTCAGAATTGTTTTATTACACATAAGAGATACACGAAAGACGCTAATCAGTTATTCATAAGCGCCGTTCGTACGGTATTGGAGGGACATTTTCTTTACTATCAGAGAATTATGATTATGATTGTAACATCTTGTCACAATATTAATCATGATAGAATTGGCAAAATAAAAACATAAGACACTAGCTAAATACTATGTGACATTTTTTAAACTAATATTTTTTTTGACAAAACTAAAAAAAAATGTATAACACGTTTTGTAAAAAAAAAATAATACTGTCTATACAACAACATGTTACCTACTCAAAATTAATAAAATTCGAAAAAGTACATTTTGCTTTATGACCCCTTTAGAATAACCGAAGTGATGAGAACCAAACGAGTATTTTTGTCAATAAAACTTTTTTCCATCTGTGTTTGGTTTACGATTTTTTTAATATCGTATTTCCGGCAATATTGTTAGCAGTGAAACAGTTTATTTTACATTTTCAATTGAAAAATGATTTTCTATGCCAAGATAATATTATGTTTTATTGATCGATTTTCATATTCTTTACTTGATTTTTTAAGATTTCGTACTTAATACCTTTTTTTTGCTCTATTTGCTTATAACGTGAACATGTCCTATGGCTAAGGTTATGTCCAAAAATGAGCGTGACGCTTTTAAAGGGGAATGGAAAGTGGTGGGAACGGGATACTGATAAGTGAGAAATGTATAACTCCTGGATAACTGGATAAGAAAATAAACTGAGAAAATCAGCTGATCATAAGACAAGACTCATGGTCTTATGGCTGTACTGCTTGTGAAGTATACTGTATAGGTTAGATTTGGATTAGATAGGTAAGGAGAGAGTGGGTAGGGGAGAAAAATCACTATTAACATGAATACATATTTGGAGTGACTGGTATATTGAAATTATTTCCTGCATAGATTTGGGTACCATATAAGCCATAGTCATGGTCTAATTTGTTTTTTCTTCAAGGGGAGCACAAAAAAATAGTAATAACACTCAAAATATGACAGCGATAAATAATATTATTGTGCAACAATATTGTCGTATTCCGAGCATTTGACGGGATGGCTCTGATTATCTTTCCGAGTTGCTTTGTAATATTCACCTTTGTACCATTCTAATCGCGTTGATTCTCATCAATTCAACGAAGAAATTAGTCGTTAATGTAGTGTCCTCGTCGGTTACATAATTTTATAATATTATTATGTTCTAGCACCGGAACCTGTCAGCAAAATTCTGATCAAAAAACGGAAACGGCAAAACCCAGACGAATCGGTTTCCTATTTTTACATCAGTTCGCCCGTTTCCCGTCGAAAGTCTGCTTCCTTTGACACGGCACAACCTAATGTAGCCTTAACAAAGGCAAACCCGACAAGAGTTTCAGGTCAGCGACAGGATAACCGGTCGAGACAGTTGGACGAGGAGATTGCAAAGCGATTCAAAGCCTTGGCCGATTTCATCACACGTGAGAATTATTATTTTCAGAAAAAACGTAACGTTAAGATTAACAAGACCAAGGGAGGTTAACGTGTAAGAGGTAGGTATAGATACACCGTGCAGCGGATTGAAAACAGTGTGACCTAGTGGACAACTCCATAAGTTCTCTTAAACTATAAAATCTCTGATGTAAAATGGAAATTTCTTCTAAAAACCCGCTACAGTTGTAAAACGAATGGTTTTATCCATCTTTTTTCGTATAAAAAAAATAATCTTAATTAGTACAAAAAAATGATAAAATAATCAATTTTTACATTTTGCAATGCTTTTTCATGGTGAGAAGAACTTGCGGTATTGTTCACTGAAGCACCGAGTGTCCTTTGCACGGTATCTATAATACCTATTATATTTGTTACTGGCGTTATTGTCTTTAAACCTTCTTCAATATATTTATATTACTCTTCCTTGTCTTTCCACTTCCTCGAGAGTACGCCGCATTATTGTTTTCCTTGTCTCGGTAGATTAATTTTTTCTGAAGAACTGACTTGATTTCCAGGGAACAAAGTTATCAGTCTTTGAAGTTCAATGTCCTCTGTAAATCGATTCCTAAAAGTCTGCCGGCAAATTATTACATTCGACAGTATTCAGACCTAATCTCGATTTTCCTTTTGCACTAGTTGCATCCCCAGACACATGTTTCTCATACATAGATTTCGCTTTGTCAAGGTTTATCGAAAAGTTTGACTACATTTTACTTCTTAAGGTAACGTGGCGTTCTCTCAGTAAAGTACTCGTGTACATATTATATTGTTTACTTTGACAGTACAAATTTCCAATTCAATTTGGATGACTTTAAAACGATTTTATTCCCCCCCCCCCCCAAAAAAAAAAATATATATATAAGCAAGAGAAGACCCTTATAAACCCAAAAGACTGGTTTTTAAAATTGTAGACACTCTCCGCCCCCGACCCCCTTTAACCCAGTATGTCTTTTAAGCTATTTGCGCTAAATTATTTTTAAAAAATTTAACATATTTTGAAATTATATATATATTTATGGAAATAATGGTTTTAACGATTACCCCCCCCCCCCCCCCCAAAAAAAAACAATCCAAATTCATATCCGCCAAACAAATTTAGATTTAACGCAATTTTTTGTATTTAATTAAATATACTATATTCTGTGATTCAATGTATTTATTAAACTTTAAACATATTATTATTATTATTATTACTATTATTGATATTTTTTTATGGTTAGATTGTTAAAGATTTTGTTTTAAGTTAGTAATACAATATTATATTATATTTATACCTACCGAAAATATATTGTCGGGTAGATTCTAGTCATGTTAAAACTAAATAGCTTATACGTATATACCACTTTATTCTAAATCGTGTGTTTTAACGATAATAAATTATTTTATTAACTCCATTTTGTGTCTAAAATTTATTAGCTAGTTGAATGTGTTTTTTTTTTGCATTAACAGGTATGCTTAACAATAATAATTATGAAAAATAATTAACGGTATTTCCAAAATTATATGAAGCATAGGTATTTGGTGCAACATTCGACCGGATTAAAACCAGAAAAAAAAATAGTTTATTAGTTTTTTCAATTATGATAATCACAGTTCAGAGAGTAAGAATAAAATATAATAATATAATAGTGGTCGTTTGAGCTAAATTGAATTAAGACCAATCAACAATATTAAAAAGGGGGGAAATAGTGAGAGTGGAGATCAATAATCAGTCTGGGAGTGATTTCATGTCTTTTCAGCCAAAAATTTTATTATTTTTTTTTACAAATTGTTTTATGTGTTTTGTTAAGAAACCACAAATGTGCTCAACGTGTAGATATTTAAAAAAATAAATATTATTATTATTTCAGTGACATTTTCTATAATTTTCTAGTAACTCTGCACGTTTGATAAGTAATAATAACTAGTAAAGTTACTATAATATCTAATTCTTAATTCGGATAACATTGCAATTAATTAGGTTATCTTTTTTATACATTACAACTTTGGTATTAAGGGGCGACATTTGTAAGCTAACAAATTGTATATGATTCCAATACCTTAGCTGTGATTTGTTAAGGAACCACTAGTTTTTTCTAAAGCAGAGAGTTGGACACAATTCGATGAAAAAAAATTGCTTATTCGAATAACCACTTGCTTGATTAAATCGCCTATAATAACATTGTTTGTACAAAAACATATTCGAATCATATTTTCTTTTTACAAAATGATTTTGTTTTTATTTCAATTAATGCTAAAGCATTAAACTAATAAGGGGTTGGTTTGAATATGGACGGGGGCGGAATTAACTTTACAAGTATTTGTGTTTACAATTTATTTTAAGGCTATACAACTCCCCTCTACCTATAGAAATTCATTATGCTAATTGCTATGCCTATGCGCAACCAACCTTTTGAAAACATGATGAATATTTGTAAACTGTTAGAATGCACACATAATAAGCATAATAGATGTAGTATTTACAAAGGTCAGATCGACAGAGTGAAGAGGGGTCTACCGGCGGAGAGGAACTTCGACAGAGTTAATTAATGATATACTATTTATATACATTTTGTTTTGCTATTAAACTAGCAGGTCACGACACCGTTGTCAATTGCCTTTTCAATATTTGTTGGTCGTTGCCAGGAATAGAATGTAATCGATGAGAGTTTACTGTTCAGAGATGTGAGAATTAGGATGATGACTTGTTCGGTTTCTAAAGCATCTGTAGTGTAGTTGGACAGCTGTTTCAGTCATGGATTGGAATCCATCTGGTCGGTGTTGAAGAGTGGTCTTGACAGTAATTTTTGTAGAGTTTAACGTTGGTTGGTTGGCAGTTTTACATATATTATATACACGTTTAGTTGTTAGTAACTGGCGAAGAAGGTGAAATATATTGTTTGCTGTTTAATTAAATTTCGCTCAACTCCAACGGCTATACACTAACCCTCGGAGTGCTGAGGGTAAAATACAAATAATAATTAACAAAAGCGTATATTATTATAATATAATATTATGTGTTCAATATAGTAGACGTGTGATGGTGGTACCTATTTGGAGCAAAAGCGATGGGCTGCTGCTGTATACCTATAGCAGCCGGCGGTCCCCTCTATTTTAATTGAGTTGCACCACAAAGAAGGGCTTGCCGAGCCGTTCGTATCGATCCCAATTATTATTTTGTCAACACAGTGTTGACAGTGATTGTCATAACGTTCACAATTCCCGACAGCAGTATAGTCGGGGACAGCAAATGCATTAACTGTAAATGCTATGTGGGATTTTCGGATTAAATAATTCATAATAGGCCGCCTATGCTGTGTGGGGGTACCTTAACCGAAACAAAAAGTAATATATTAGGTACCATACAAAACCGACAATGACCAAAAGAAACAGTCGAAAGTGCCCAGGGTATACAGAGTGATCGTTTTATCGCGAACCATTCAATATCTCATAGGGTTTAAATAAGAAATTACACATTTTCTTTTTTTATACAATGTGATTGGTGTTTTAGTCTTAGTGTTTTTTATATCAACTCTTGAAACTTTTAAACGGTAACGTTTATCGGTTTATATTAAGAATATTTTACTAACAAATCTGACTTCAAAAATAGTTATCCAAAACTGGTTATCGACCGGTCGACATTTTTAGTAAATTATTCTCGACTTAAAAAGAAGGTATGCGTTACCGTTTAAGTATCAAAAGTTGCTATCGAACAAACTAAGTTGGGAGGTGGGTTAAAAAAACAAATTTATTATTTAAGCCCAATGAGATATTGAGTGGTTCACGACAAAATGATCACTCCGTATACAATTTATTCGACCATTTCGAATCCGGCACCCTCGGTAGTTCTACGTTGTTGTTTTTTTTTTTGACAAACGCCCAACCCGCATTGGTCCAAAATCTATATATATTATTAACAGAAGGGTAGTTCGTAATGGGGGTGGTTTATTTGTTTATCGACAAACGCGGGCAACGTAATGGCTGTGCTGACTGCTGTGTGCAAATTTAACAGTATCCCCAAACTGTAACGGTGTGGTCAGACAAGAAAACACATACTATGCACATAAAAATTATACCAAACAAAAAAAAAAAGCCTGCACAGCAAGGTCAGAGATTAGAAAAGTGATAAAATCATTTTGTTGAACACTTCCTGTCTTTTGATGACAATTCGTCGTCGTTGTTTGCCAAAGAAAAATTAATACGGTCTAGGTTTTTCCCCTTTATTTTTGAAAATTATATATGACCTTGTATAGACTCGGATCTACTACTCCACTCTTTAGATCTATCTACAGTCTAATTACCAGACCTTAAGCGCTAAAACTGTACATTTTTAAAAGTCTCCACCCCTTCTAGGGGCGGGTAGAAGGGTTTATGATATTTGTGTGGATTGTCAACGGTTGTTCAATGAACACTCCATACAATAACTGTAATAATTGAAGTAAGAAAAAGGGGATTTAGCTATGACTTAAAAACCGATTAAAGAAGGGATAATGAGGATTGTGTGTATAATATTTGAAAATTAAGGATTTCGACAAAATTGTCAACGCGCTCAAAATAATAGCGAAAACGTGCCCTTGATAACAAAAGTATGGAATAAAAATATTATATTGTACTATAAGGCATAGGTTTGTTTTTTTATTGTGTTTGTACAACAGCCTATTTAAATATTGTAAGTTAAAATATTGACATAGTACAATGTACGGTAAGTACTCGAGTAAATTATTTTGGCTATAATTAATCTCGTGTACAAATATATTAAATGTTTTTTTTTTTTTTTAATTGTACCTACTCGTCAAGTCGAGCACTTTATATTATCGATAATCGATTTTTTTAATTCATCATAGTATTGAAACAGGATGCGTTCACAATGTGAGTATGAAACTGTTGAAAAACCATGGGTTAAAATATATAGGTCTTGTGGGGATAGATAAAACTACTTGGGGGGATTAACTAAAATGTCTTTTATACCTTAAGAGCATACACTTAAGATGTGGGATCAAGTATATAATATTATTGTTGTTCATCTGATCATTACAGTAGTTAACTATTGATTTTAAAAGCGATATTAGTAATAATATTGTCGTTCAGATGAATTGTGTGCGATAAATGATTGTGCTAGATTATATTGTTTTTTGCTTATACGGAAAATAGTTTATACTTGTGTAGTATATTTTTTATACGACACACAACAACATACGACTGTGAGTTCAAGTTTGAGAAAAATAAATAAATATATAGATTGTCGTCGACACTGTTCGTATTATATTTACACAAACGATAATTTTACATCTGCCGAGCTGGTTATACCTATTCACTTTTTACTTTTCAGACGGGCTTTTGTCCGCGTTAAAAAAACAAAAAAAACCAAGCAAATAATGACAGTGTACATACACCGTGTACTTGACTCAATAATAGCGTTGTGTTTACTATTTATTTATGTTAGCACTTAGAGCCGCCACGTGCACGCTGCCTTTACCTGTAAAAATTTTTGGAAAAATAAAATAATATTTAACAATATTGTCTACTATAATAATGTGTAGGTACAACATTGTGCAATCGACCAAACGGAAAATTCATTACAGAGAAAATGTCATTTTAAAATTCCAATCATCAAAACCAATATAATTTTGCCTGCTATGCATACCCCTCTACCTATTATAATGGCATTAAGCCGCGGCAAAGAGAAACCCCATTCGGGTACATACAATAATCAAATGCCACAGTTAAATCAACATACTCGATTATGGTAAACCCATTAAGATATTTTACAAAACGATGCTTAGAATACACAATATAATAATTTGTCTGGAAAAAATAACCACAACAAATAGACTTCTGTACTTCGGTAGTTTACTATGCAAATTACTTTTTCCAATTTTTTGTGTCAGGAAATATATATTTATGGGTACATTGTAAAAGTGGTGGTAACTAAATGTACATATTTTTGTTAAATCGAATCACATTTAGTCAAATGAAAAACAACTCCAATAAATGCAAAAATAATGTACCTAAATCCTGTGTATAAACATACATTTTCATGAACGATATGTTAAATAAATAATAATTCATAGATTACTTTAGCTATTGTTGTGTTTAGTTTGTAAAATAATTAAAATTATTATTTATTAGTAAGTGTTACAGTTGGTCGACCCTTGTGTATGTGTGTATATTTTCATGTGATTAATAGGTGTTAGTTATTAATCATAATATGTATAGTATATATGAATATATAAAAAGGTCTATCGGGGTTTGGTCAGTATCACGGTTGGCCTGTCGGCCTAAGAGTCAAATATAAATGTCTACGTACACATTTTTTTCTATTAATTAATAATATATACAATAACACAAGATTTAGATATTTGAAACATGATCAATACGGTTTACGCAAATTTTATCTGTTATATCAAAATGTTTTAATTAACATGTGATTAATAAGACACTGGAACCTAGGTCATGATCATCTCCATTTCTTTTTTATTTATAAAAGCCCTCTTTCAAAAAAAGGTTTTATCTCGTGTTGCTTCTTTTTATATATTTGAATTACACATCCTTAACACTGGATAGGTCATGTAACTCCGGATGGAACACCAGTACTTGTTCTGTGAGGTGGCCAACACTAGTGTTCTCACTGTTGGTCGGTTTACTTTTACATATTTAGGCTATTTTAAAAATTGCCACCGGCCATTAATAACTTGTCTTTACGGTCGATGCTGGTGAACTCGACGAAGCATTTAACAAGTACCCTGAAACAATTGAATAGCGCAAAATTAGTTTAAATTAATAACAATAATAATAATATAATAAAAAACCTGCACTGAGGCGGTAAAGGAGATCACAGATGTTTAGGAATTATTAGTTAAAAATCAGTTTGATGAGAGAGAGTTTTTTTTTATAAAATTGTATATTTTACCAGACTCGGATCTACTATCATTCCACACTCTAGATCTACCTTCAGTCTAATTTCTGGACCTTAAGCCCTAACTTTACCTAAAAATAAGTAATAATGAAAAAATGTTCAATCCCTTTTTGGGGAAAGGGTTAAAAAATAATATTTTTTTGGCTTGTCAACATTTATTGATAATACTTTATCTAAAGAATAGTCCATGTAAGTTTGGCACTGGTTTGACTACTTTTAAAAAAGTTATAGAGGGCCATAATATTTAGTTGAAAAATATATACGTTTTATGAATGCGTTTCTCAATTTTGGGTAGAAGCGTTACTGTCAGTTAGTAATTTTTTTTCTAACAAAATTACGTCTTTTATTAGATATTGGGTAGACTGATGAATTGACAATAATTAATAATGCGTCAGAAAATGTCGACAAATAATTTTCCTTATTTATTTTTTATCAGAAAAATCAAGAAAACATCGACAGAGTTTTCGCATCAACATTGATGAAATTAAGTAAGAAAAAAATAGCTGTTTATATATTACTAATAGCAAGATTTGATTAGATGTTATAAGCGTTTCATTTATAGAACATCAACTATGATTATTTAGTAATAACTACCACTTTGCTCATAACACTATTACAGCTTTTTAAAGCCCCGACCTTTTTCGAAAACTTGAATTGTAACAAAAATTGAATCACATATTTCAGAAACCCCCACAAGGACATAGGGATTTCTATAAGTACACGTTGGGTTTTGTGAAATTCGATTGTTAAGACAACGTTATGTGTGCATTTTACCTGTGTATTTTACGCAAATCATAAATCATAAACCGTTTTCAATGGGTTAAATCGTGACAAATTCTAATTTCTCGTGGTTTTAAAGTGAATAATTGTAAAAAAAAAAAAAATATCACCTTTTTGTGACCTCCCTGTTATCAATAATTGTTATTATCAGTTTATTTTATCGCGTACGATAATGAGGAGAGAAAAAAATTTACTACCACCGTTGGCCACACTGTCGCGGTCACCGGCCTGCCGGCACTGCGTCACCAACGCCGAACTAAACGCGTTTTGTCCGCATGTGTGTGTGTGTGTGTGTGCGTACATGTATGCTTGTGTGCGGCGTGCGCACGCGTGATGTTGGGTTAGCGTGTGCGTGTGCGTGTGTTTTACCTCTACGGGCCGCAGCGGGACCGTCTACCTCTACTCCGCGCACAGTTTTCATTATCAATTTCGAAGTGGCCGCCGAGGTTGTTGCGCGTTTCTCGTCGCGTTCAGCGTTATTATTATTATTTTTTTCGTTGTTATTGTTCCGAAAAATACTATTTTTGTTATTATTCATTATTATTGTTTATAACAGTGTTATGCGCCGTTGCCGTAAAACCGTCGTCGAACACCGTTTTTAATTGAACTGTGTAACGCGATATAGCTCATCAACGCGTTCCCGCCGGCCGCCGCAAAGTCGATTTGTGTCGTTTTTGTCCGGTAATAATAATATCACTGCGTTCGCCACTGTGTGTGGTGTGTGCGTGTGAATAGCGTTCCAGCGACCAGAAAACCGTGCGCGCTCCTCCAGCCGTCGCCGACTACCGTAGCCGTGTGTTGTTGCGCGTCACCCACAAGCCTTGATATCCAATCGCGTCGGATCGCCGCCCAGCGTGAGTAAAAAAAAAAAATTAATTAAATATTAATCGAAAAAACGATAATAATAATAACGTTACAATGTAACAGTGTTGTGGTTTGTTTTTTTTTTATATCCATCTAATTATCGCCGTCTCGGTTCGGCCTTTGCCGTGTTAATTATCGCATTGCGTTACCGGCTGGGGCAGCGGCGGCGGGGTACTGCCTCAGCCGCCGCTGCCGCCGTCGCAACGCGCGCAATAGACGCGTGCGGGAAATACGGCTAACCTACACTCGAGTACAAAATGTAATAACGTTTTTGTTTTTATAAAAATTCACTTGCGTCCACATCGACTATTGCTCATTGTACATTGTACGTTGTTGCAGTGACAATAACATAGCGACGGGACCGATCGCTGTTGTCCAACGGTAACGGTGTTGTACGAATGTCGTCGTCTTACGATTGTTATATATTTACAGACATTACCTACATTTTTTTTTAAATTTCTTTTAAATTATTGTTTTACGATACTTTTTCTAGTTTAAAAATGTAATCCCTGAAAAAATTACAAAATTTTCCAAATATCTAGATTTATTATGACTTGTTCTTTTTCTGTTGCGCTTGTAAATGAACAGCGAGGTCCCATGCGCGACCTTTAAGTACGATAATCGTGTGCCTAGTGGTTAGATATTGGCTCGTGTAAATATCAATGATAGTATCTCGACCGAGTCAGAAATAATAATATTATTGTTTTAAAATCAATAAAAAGTTAAATAATAAATATATTTGATGTGGCTTGGATTTATCTGGTTGTAGCCCAAGCTCTTCAATTCAATTTAACACTTAAGTACAATAACGGAAAATATTAGTAAGATTTGATATTATACGGAAAACTAAAACATAATATAACTACCTACTTTAAAAACGAAAAAATAAAAACAATTGTACATCTTTAAAAGATAAGTGTAACCCTCATCAAATTTTCCACATACTATCCTTGCCGAAAATGTTGGCTAACCTAACTTATATAGAAATTATTTGTTTTATTGAAATAAACAATTTACCTATTGCAATTAAAATTATGCTAAAATTTTATATTATCGGTTTTATACAATCAAAGCACGTTTAAATGATTAAAAGCTATTTGAAGAAAAATGTTGTTCAAAGTCTTTTTTGCTTATTTATTTGAAAAAAATGGTTACTGTAGAAAAATGTTGTATACCTAAATATTAATAAATTTTGCTAAATCAAATATTTATAGCTGTTTGACTGTTTTTACCATTGTTACTTTGAACAGGTAAAGCGATAGGCATCATAAACGATCCTGATCGAGCAGGTATAGAACTTGCGTCGGACCTTTGCAATAATTTCAGATAATTATTCTAAATTAATGACCATATTAAAAATCGCTAAAACACATTGTCTAATGGTACAAACATTAATTAATGAATCAATAAATAATCCTAGAATAATAACCTATGATTATGAGCATTATAAGTCATCAAATTATATTTATATTATTTATTGTAATTATCCCTGTAATTATATTACGGTATAAAAATATGTCTTGACAATAATTATTATCGAGATAATATAGGTACTTTAAAGATGACATTAGTGTTGAATTGTTTTTAAAACACCATTTTCGTACTAAACGTATTAATTTTATTAGGAATCATTTTGTAGTGGTCCGATCAAAGGCTACTACCTATTTATTTAAAATGAAAAACTTTTAAAGACGATATCGCGATTAGATGATGTACCTATCCGTATTATAACTTGTTACCTTATGTAATCGAGTCTATATATATTCCCATTAATTCACAATAGTAGCTAACAAACTAGTAAAGTGGTACCTCTTTAATATATTTTATATTTAAATAAAAACACAATTACAAGCATTCAACGGCCCCCTCAATTGTGAAAATAATCTCTTTTGACATGTCAAATGTTATTCGTCAAGAGAGTACAGGTTGTAGATTGTGTTCTATTAAAGATAATAAAACCGTTTATTATTATGTGGCGCGACGGTTGACATTTTAAATTGTGAGCGACACTTTCAACAGATCATATTTTGTAAACTAATATATTGTTTATCATGCTTTTTTACTTGTTGGCACCGTTCGGCTCTAATTGGATTTTAAAAATTTGCAGATTGAAAATGGACCAAGAGAGTGGAAGCGGAAGGAGGCGAAGTTCTAGGCTGGCGGCTCGAGGTGTAGTGGCACCTCCAAAGCCCGAAGTTGTAAAGACGCCGAAAAATGAAGACAAACCGAAACGCTCAAAGCGTAAACAAAGCGATGAAAGACCATCTTCGGCGGCTAAAAAATTGAAAACAGAAGACGATGAGCCCTTATCTTCGACTCCGGAAAAGGAAGAATGTAAAACCGAAGAGAACAAAGTGGATACAAATAAAGACCAAGTAGACACTACTGCGCCTGCTAAAGTCGCAGACGTCGTTTCGGTGCCGCCGTCTTCGGAGAATAAAGAAGAATGCGTGAATGCTGACGCCGAAAAGACTGACGTAGTAAAACCTCAAGATCCCAAAGAACAAGACAAAACACTTCAAGACGAAGAAAAAACAATGGATGTTGATGTACCTACGCCGCCGCCAGAAGAGAAGAAAGACGCTGAAGAATTAAAACCAGTGGTGGAAGTCGAACCTGTCGAGCCGCAGATTGTTAAAAAAATTGAAGAAGAACCCGTGACCGACGCCAAAGTCATAGGAAACGGCCTGTCGGCTGAAAAAGAAGCCAAGAAAGATGTTCAGCCAGAAAAATTTGAAAAGGAAATCAAAGCGGTCGTCAAGGAGAGCATAACTTCGAATGGCACCGTCGATGCCGAGCTGAAACCATCAAACGGTACAGGACCGAAAATCAATTCGGACGCAGTTGAAACAAACGAGGCCATAAGTGGGAACAAACCCCACGTAACCGACTGTGAATACAGCCAAAAATCAATCGCTACGGTGAATAATGCCAGTAACGAAACCGCCACCAAAGAGGTGGCGAGTACAGAATCGGAAAAAATTGTAGATAACGCTGTGGACAACAATACGATCGTGTCCGCCGACAGTGTCGCGCCGAATAAAGACCATTCATCGACAATTCAATCCTAATTTTTTTTTTCCTTTAATTTGTAAGTATGTATCTTGTTATTTTTAACTGTATAAATAATTACTCATTTCTTTTATAAGTTTTTTTATCTTAACGTTTGTACAAATTTTATGTTTTCCAGGTTTTACATTGAAGAACAGCGTCTAGACTCAATTGACTTTCTACTGATTATACATTTTTACCTGATGTCGGTAGTCAAATATACGTCTTCTTATTTTCATTTTCTTTCCTTTACATTATATTATATAAATATAAATTTTATTTACCAAGATTTAATTTAAGTACACCAAAAATAAATTAAGTATCGTAATACGAATATAATAAATTTATATATATATATAAATATATATTTTTTTTCTGTTTTCCTTTTTTTTTTTTTGTGCGTGTACTATTGAAGAAAATATGTATTACATTTTGTTCGTTTAAAATTTTGTACAAAATCTGAGTTGAGAGAACATTTTTTTTTTCTTTCTTTTTTTATATAGTAGCGTTTTTAACGAGAAAAAAAACTATTTAAGGGATTATAATATAAATTATCGGTACATTATTTAAGTGTTAATAATTTCGGTTTTGTACGTGTACTGTTTTTTCATCATCGTTTGTAATTTCTACAAAAAAAAAAAACCTAATTTTTTTTTTTATACAATGTGTTTTTCAAATTTAAATTACTTTATATTATATTCAAAAAAAAAAAAAAAAAAACCCTTTTTTTGCGATGGTTCATTGATAATACTAAGAGTGACGTTTATTTAGTGGTTTACGTGTGTTCGAATTGTGAAGTTCGCAGATTTAATATAATTAATAATTACATAAACGTACCGTAGGCTTAGTTCTTGTAATCCTGTAAAGCGATCGTTTTGTATTTATCATACTGACGTGTGTGTATGTATATATAGATAAATATATATATATAAAACAAACTTTATCCTATTTTTTAAAGTTAACGAGATTTAAGGAACATTTTTTTTTTTTCGATGTAGAACATAATATCTTACTTTAGACCATATTAGTATTTTGCAATTTTCGAACGGTTTAAAAATAATATCATGTAGAAAACTATATAATTATCATTATATAAAGTACATTTTTTTTTTTTTTTTTTTACAAAACAATTCATTTGTAACCATTGGATTTTTTTTGTTTGAGAAATAATTTATATATATATAAAAAAAAACACATTTTGTTGTGATTTTGAAAATAATCTTTCTTGTTCTTTTTTATTTTTTGTTTGGTTTCGAACATAATAACGGTAATAATAACCCTAAGGTTTGTCCGTGTCGTTTGTTGGAATGGACACATTTTCAAGTAAAACCGATCGACATGTTTGTTTTTGAAATTTTAGTCTGTTAGTACTTAAATGAAAAAAACGAACCTATTGGTCAAGTCGAGTCGTAGTATTTTATCATCTTGAGTTGGACGTTGTCCGAATAAAACGAAAAAAATTATTTTAATATTTTAATAATTTATTATTATTCGATCAAACTATTTATTTAGGAATTAAATGTTTTCATTTGTTATCTTTTTTACTATATTTTGTTCAAATGTTAAATTGTTTAAGTTGACTTTTTTAAAACGTTTCTATCTTAATTTAAAAAAAAAAAAAAACATTGAATCTATAATAACAGGAAGTCTACTTTTGGTCTTTACTAATAAACTATTAAAGTGTAATTTTCTTTTAAAATTTAAAAGCTGATTTTACATACATTTATAAATATTTTAAATTGTGCAAGATTAAAAAAAAAAAGAGATTATAATTATGAATAAAAAAAAGGTTTTTGTATCGATAAATAATAAAAATGAAATATAATAATGTTTTTTTCTGTGTCTGATAATTAATATTGAAAAAAAAATGATTTATTAAAATTTTACACGACAATATATCGACCAGAGTTTGTTTTCTGCAATAAAATAAAAACTACGCTGAAGTCACACTCGTTAAATATCGTATATTTAATTTTCAGCTACTCGACTAAAATACATACAATATAAATAGTACAATACACAAAACAAGGTTATATTAAAAAAAGCTTCTATCTCAAATGACAATCAAGTTACTTAACTTTCACTGTGTTACTAATTTTATAAATCGACTTGTAAGTAATTAAATTAATCGTATTGGATTTATATTATAACGTTAAAACTAGACTAGCTAATCAAAATAAATAAATACATACAGCTGTGTGCGTATTGTGCCGAAATATATATTTAACTACTACTTAAGTGTTAAAGACTAAATCTCGATGAATAGTAAGGAAATTATTATAATTATAAGGTATTTTTTTTTTCTTTATACACAATTTAAACTAACTATTACTCATTATGTGTTAACTTACAAACATTAAGAACAAACGACAATACATTAAAATGTTCAACTGTGCAATAAATAATTATAATATGTTCGCAAAATGTTAAACGTGCGTTACGCTAAATAATTTAAGTCTACTCTGAACAATTGCTACGATTAACAAAAATGTGTGTACACCTTAAATCTAGTCGGTCTCGACCCGAGTTCAGTACGCACACGTAAAAAGAGATCGGTATCGTAATATAATATTGTTCACAAATATTGCTACGTCGTTGTATCGTACATTAGATGGGGGGGGGGGAATAATACAAATTCAAAAGAAAAAAATTAATTATTACGGTAATGAAAAACAAAACTAGTGATAGACTTGCGTTTGTTCGAAAGAATTGAATTTTTTTTTACAAATTAAGAATCGACAAACTTATTTGGTCTTAATTTGGCAAAAAAATTTAACACGTTACACAGTGGCGGATTAATTTTGGCAACAAAGAAAACAGTTAATAACAAACAAAACTATCGCTTTAAAATTTATCGAACTTAAGTAAAACATGTAATCGTTAAGGAGATTAATTTCTGGACTTTGCACATATGTAGTTTTGGTGAAGAATTTCAAGACATAATAACAATGTAGATTAAATAAATTAATAATAATAACAATAGAAAGAAAACCCATACATCTTATCCAAATACAACGTTACAATATCATAAGAGATCTTCTTAACGGAAAACATAGTCGAGTGCGCTCTTCACAAGATAATAATAATTGTTATCAAAGGAATTTCGCTAAATATGAATAATTTAATTTTATCGTTTGAATGTTCAAAAGTACATTTTTATCATATTTTAATATGCGATTTTAATTTTCTTACAAATACTTTAATAAATATTTTTTTATACTATTAGAGTTCACAGTACAATATTATTTTTCTTCTTGCTTTCGATTTTAGCAGCGATTGACAATGTATACTTTGATTCTAGAATATTTTTGGATTTTTAGTTAAAAAACCGACTTTGATTTTTAAACTGAACGTAAAACGGTGAATTAAAATGTAAAAAATATCAACTTCAACGCGGTTAACTGTTTTTTTTTTGTCGAAGACGATGTAGCAATTCTTATTTAAACGCGAGGTATAACGTGTCAAACGACTAAACGGTCAACAATAAGCAGAAAAATACGTAAACAAATATTATTGGTTTGGTTTTTAACAAATAATAATAATAATTGTAATTTGTACTCGAAGCGTTTTCTGTTTATGTACATTTTTTTTTTCTGACAAAGAATGTTAAAAGAAAGAAATAACGAAAAGTAACGTTTACAATATTTATAAATAAAATAAAAATACTATTATAAATAAAATAAAAAAATCACTAAATACTGATTTAGCCACTTTTATCTTAAATGAAAATAAAAGTTGCTATATTCGAAGAAAACAAATTAAATAATTAACATGGTTAATTAAAAAAAAAAAAACAATGAGATGGGGACAAGAAAAGCTTATTGTTGAGATGATGTTTGACTAGATCTCGAGGTAAGGTGTTCGAGTAGTTTTTGAGTGGTTTCGCCCAACGTGTCTTTGGCGTTGACCGACTTTATCGTAGCGATCTGAGCCAAAATTTTCTTGATCAGCTCGTCGTTCATCAGCCTGAAACAGTTGTTGATGAGACGGCGTATGATGACCAACAGCGGCACTTGACGGCCGTTGTCCAACTGCTTGGTGATCATGATCAGTTTGGTAAGCGCTTGAAACACCAAATCGGAATCGCCGCATTGATATATACAAGACATCTCGGTGTTCTGAAAAAAATTGTTTCGTTAGACCGATACTAATACCAATGTATGACCGATGTAGTGGCTTTTGAGGCCACGACGATACCACTTACGTTGACAAGATCGAGGAAGTTTACGACCGAGTTCTCCAAACAGTCCCACGTACACTTTTGCACTTCCGGATCGTTGTTCTCGGCCGTCTTCAGGAAGACGACAATTCTCATGAACGCACTGATGACGGAATCCAACAGGAAACTGGTCGCCTCCGGACGTTTGGATTCGTCGGCCGTACTGAAATAGTTGTCGATGAAGTACTTCATTTCGCTCAGCGTACATCTGGGCAAATACTACGGCAAACGATAAATCAATTAATCTATTGTGTCGGACAATTAAATTGTTAATAAACGACAAACCGTAGCTATGCTGAAAATGAATTCCTCTTTCATTTGCTGTGTGGACGACCCGTTCAAGTTTGAGAAGGATATGTGATTTTTCGAATGAATAGTCATGATGAACTGTTCGTCCAATCCGTCGACCGTGATGGGCTCGAATTTGAATATGTTCAAAAAATGGCTCCGTGTGATTAACGGGAACTGCGCTAACTTCTTTTGTAATGCTCGTACTTCATCGATGTGGGCTATAAATTAAAAAAATAGAATAAATCGTTAAAATAACATCACAGAAATAAATATTTTTCATTCCTGTTGTTAACGCCAATGTTTCCGGCAGTCATTATTAAAAATACACATTACCGACTGAGAGGAAGTGTTCGATCACAAGATAGACGGTCAGGGAAATTTTCTCGCACAAGTCTACTCTGCTGGGAGAGTAAGTTTCCAAGTTCCAACGAGCATGGTCCAGTATCTTAGCGAGTCGGAATATTAACGCTCCCCATACGTCTACGTTGGGCAACGACGATCCGGTGCAAGATCTAATGAAGAACTGAAAAATATCAGAGCAACGTATTATACATTTCAGTTTATTTGTTTTATTACATACTGTTTGTAGATATAAAAAAGTACATTTCCTTACCCTAATCAAATTGATCAACTGTATCAAATGCCCATAGTTTGTGGTCGGAATCAGCAGTGGCAGTAAAACGTCAATGAGAAAGTCTTGCGGTTTGATTAGACTCAATTCCTTACTGCTGACGACGGAAATCTGGAACACGATTAAATAAATATATTGAAGTGGTTAGGTCGTACTGATGGTCGAAAAACTAACCCATCTGTTGAATAATTCTGTTTCGGTTTCGTTCAATGTGTTTTTAACATCCAACCATTCACGGTATTCCTGACACACTGTGGCGATGTCCATGTGTTTGTGCATGCTGACCAACACTTGGTACAAGACGGTTTTTTCGTCGGTCAACGATTTCATCGGAAAATCGCCCGAAGTGATAATGTATTGCGACATTAAAATGTGAAACATTTTCTTTGGCTGTTGTAAAACTATCCATGTTAATTTTGTCATAAAATCCTGAAAATTAAAAAGAAGAAAATTAATTGACCGTGTGTAAAAATATATGATAACGTTTATTAGATGTAGACATTTTGCTCACATCTTGATTTATCTCTTTGTTGCCGTCGTTGTTCAACACAAAATGCAATAATTCGTCGAAGTTTGTTGACAAATATAGTTCACAAGTCGAATGATTGACGAAGAAATGCTTCAGCAGTTTCAATTTGTCTTCGTTGGACAAACACTCAATACCTTTCAATATGACGTTGGCCATTCCTTCGGACATCGGACCTCCACCTTTGACGTGAGCAACGGAACGGTCGATGATGTGTTTAAAGCAACAGTAATCAATGCGATTCATATTTTCAATCAACGTTTTGATGGCTTCCGAGTGGGTGAACACGTCGTTGTTCTCGATCAATTTCTTTACCCACCCATTGAGATGTTTCTCGGTGGTTTTGACGCGTTCGATGACTCCGTTTATGTCATTGGTGTCGACCTCGTCGTAATCGATTTTTTCCACTGCCACATTGCGCAAGACCGGCATGAAGTTCAACAGCTCCTTATGTGTAATGCTTTTTTTGTTGATGAGTTCGCACAAATCGTAACACAGTTCGCCGATTATCGTCTGCAAGTTGGAGTCTTCTTCGGTGACTACGATTTCGTACCAATCCAGCCATGTGTTTATGTTGAAATCGCACAAATTCATCAACTTGTGTATGATGACGTCGAGAAATTTTTGTAACATTGGATTGGTCGGATCAGGGTTGATGCACACGTCGCGTAACAGTTGCAGTTTGTACAACGGATATTGTGTGTATGTGTCCAAAGAGTTGTTGAATTTGATTAGGCTAACCAAAATTTTAAATATGCTCCTCACTCGGTGTCCCATGTATCGAGTAATTTCTTTCTGCTGTGTCTCGGGATTTAATTTCTCAATAGCTTTGGGCAACGTGTCTTTGTTGTAGACCATCAAGAGTTTGTTAATATGTTCGGTGACCGCGGCAAATTGATCACTCTGAACGGGCATACGCTTCAGGTTCCTTACGAGCGCCTTAATTATAACCTCCGACGACGACAGATGACTTATGGGATCTAAATCTTTCAAATCATCAATAGCAATGTCGATCAGATCACGGCAAAACATATACGGGGTGCACATTATTGACTCCATCATGTACGGCATCAAAGACATATACTTGGCCACTTTAACAAACACTTCGGTGGCGATAGGCGTGCCGTGTTTGAAGCGCGCAACACATGGGTGCAACACGGAATTATTATCTCGTATCCACAAGCAGTTTTTCAAATCTGAATTGATGTACATGACGAAAAAACTCAGCCTAAGACCGTGCTTCGATAATCGTCCGCCTTTTATGTGTACGCGGTCCAAAATCAACAGATGAAGATTTAAATGGTTCAGTTCATGGTTACTTCTTCCTGCATAAACAAACAAAAACCAAGTTAATTTATTTTAAAGAGCAGTATTTTTATTCTAGTAATTGATCTTTAAAGAAATAGTAACCAAAATATTAATTAAGAATAACATAAATAATTGTTCAAGGTCGAAATCATTATCGGAAGGCCATTTGGACAAAGAAAGAGAGATAAGTCACAATTATTGTCTCCTGTAAAACGTACAATATTAAAAATCTTGACTACTCGGCTAAAGACTTTTACAACATTTATCAACTTTTAATTCCTGATAATAAATGTAATGTATTTTACAAATTACTATATGAAAACATGGGCATAGAGCAAAAATGTATATAATATTATGAAGTATGAATAATCATAACACATTTTTTTGAATGAAGAAGCTTATTAAATGTAAATTGTTTAATACAGATTACACGTTTAACAAATTCTGTGTCACTTTATCTTATATCAAAATATACATTGTATTTTAACTATTAAACGGTTGACCTATTTGCAAGTGTTTTAAGTATTATTTAATTCATTTTTAATCAGTCTATTGATTCATTCAATAACTAGGCACAAGAACTTTGGCGATAAATATTATTTCAATTACAAATAACACATTAGTTGTTTCTTATTGCGAAAAGCTTAAAGGCTTAATTACAATGCTTAATCTATTGAAACTGAAGCGGACTGGCCGGCCGTAGTTGGGTAGAGATACAAAAAAGACTTTGACCTAGCGACAACGATTTAAGGACGGTCATACGTTCTATCTAATCGGCTTTAGCTACTTTCTGTATTTAACGCAAGGCTTTAGGACGACTGTGGCTTGTTGTATGGAGCCCGAAAGATAACGTACGGCCGGAGCCCGTTGTACGGCCACCGTTCTCGTGGACATCTGCGTTACGCTACTCGCTGTGTGTGTTATTATTGTTTTTTTTTTTGGCACCTATAAGTGTCTAAAATAACAGAAAATCGCACTTACCGTCCAAGAATATGTTAATGTCGTCCAACAGGCCGAAAACAAAGTCCAGGTTGCTGTTGAGCTCGGTCATCTCGACGTCGGGGTCGGTTCGTGTGCGACGGGACACAAAAAGCGGGACGAAAATCCGCGATGCGTACGCCAACACCTGCGCGGGACTGGACGGCGGGACTGCGGCGCAGCCTCAGGAATCGGCGAACGGTTTACGACTGTGGTCCGGCCGCTGAGCGGTAACTGCGTTGTAAATTGCGTACAGGTAAAGCGCAAACAAAGCGGTCGGCGGTGTACGCGGCCCAAAGCAGACTATTATAGCAGCCGCAGACGCATTCGAAACGCGCACGCACAACTATGTTAGATTACCAGCGGCAGCAGCAACATTACCATAGTAGCTGGTATATATATATACATATATATAATTTCATAATATTATTACACACTGTTTTGGTTCGACGGTGCCGTTGACTGATAACGCTGATAACGGCTCGGGTTAATAATCGTTATCAATGATAACGCGGTCGTGATCCGTGAATATGACAAAGAGCCATAGAACAGCTCGCATTATCGCATTATTCTACTTGATCGACAAGCTATTGGGGGTTTTTTTTTTTAACAGGCTTTGCGAGACAGGTCGACAAGCTGACTAAACGTATTTGGTTGACGACAAGCGACCACTTGTAAACTTGCTAGGCAACTGTTGCGCCGTTCATTAGGGTCAGGGCCGCAGTGTTTCATAGGTAGGTAGGTAGGTACGATGATGACATTGTTACTATATTAAAATAATAGAAAAAAGCCAGTACAGTGGGGACGTAGAGGTCACGGGTCTACAGGAATAATTGTTATAGTAACCGAAAGTGACAAAATCACTTTTAACTAACGCTTCGATGCGGATCTGTGGACGGTAAGTGCAAACCAGTTAAACAGTCAAAACCGAGCACAGTATATTATACCAGCTCAGTAAGAAAGTATTATACTTAAGTGAGTAGTAGGTAAGTTGGTACCTGGACAATTATGTGCTTTAAAATGCATTTTTAGCATTAGGGTGGGTACGATTAGGGTTGATCGCGTGTCTACGAAAATGTATTGCCATACTTACCCATACATGGTAATTAACAATAATAATATAATGAAAATATTTTCATTGCCTGACACCTGTTGACTGTTCACTCGCACTAGCAACCTGGAAATTGACTACGGTCAAAGTGTAATTTTTCTTCTTCCTTTTTTTTTTGGGTAAAAAAATTTTAATACAGATTTTGAGAAAATTGTTTATGTTATGGTTTTCATTTTAAATCTTCGGTCTAATATTCAGGCCTAAATCACTAAAAGTTTGCTTGAAAAAAGGAAATAAGGAAAAAGTTTTAGGGGAATGGGATTATGATACTTTTTTGGTTTGTCAACATTTATTGGTAGTAGGTGCTATGTCAAAAGAATATTCCATACAAATTTGAAACTAGTTCGACCATTTTTAAAAAAAGTTCTAGAGCATATTAAATTACGGTAATGTTAAATTGAAAAATATGTTAACTTTATTATATTGATATTATTCATAAATTCCTTACCAAATAGTTTAATGTAGGTAGTTATTTTGTTCAATACTTGACCGAGTTATGAAGTAACGTCAACTCAACCGGTTGTTTCAGAGCCGAATTTCAGGGGAGGTTTTGTTGGGGGTAGAAACCCTTGTAATAATCCCAATACTATTGTTTGTTATTATTAGTCTTGTTATTATTACCATGTAGATGTTGTAATAGGTACTTTTGATTATTGTTAATTGTTTGTGGTCTCGCGTGTTGGCCAATAGCCCAATCACGCGTTATTATTATTTAGTATTAGTAAGATTAACCATTGTTTAGTTTAATAAAAAAGGGCATTAGTTATTAAGCTAGAGACCGTGGTATTTAATCAGTATACTCAGTGATCTAATTGATACTCTTTGTCACAATTATAAGTATTGTCTTGAGTTATTATTGTGTTTAAAAGTATCAATTAAACATTAATATAAACTTGTTTTATCTCTGTCTGAAATACCTTTCATAACTTCTGAGTCTTATAAGTGTGCTGCTTAAATCTCTTGGTGCAATATCCTATAACACCCTCCCCAAAGTTTTTTTTTGTCAATGACTACACTAGTATTTTTTTTTTTTTTAATAATAGTTAATCTAAAGGTATAATAGAAAATTTGAAAACCACCCCCGAAAGTTTGGCTGAGTTACGGCCTTGAGTTGTTTTGTATAAATAATAAAAATGCTTTGAAAAGTTTTATAAATTATTTAGATGGTGTAAAAAAAAATGTAAAATATATAAATATAATATATTGTATACAAAATTATTTTTCATGCTTTTCAAATAAATTTAAAACAAATTAATCAGCAGCAATAATGCAATTACTCGAAATACAAAATTAAAAAAAAAAACACTTAATTTTTTTACTGTTATACCAACCTATATTAAAAAAAAATGTTCAAATAATCTTTAATATTCTTAATAAACTTTTAAAACAATATTTATATTAGTTTTGTATTTATTAAGTTTTATAACTTACCATTGTTATTGTTATTGTAATTTGTATTATAGTTATTATTGCTACATAGATAATTCAAAGCAAGTCTGTATTCTAGGGAGAAGTTTATTGGGTTCTCTACAATTATTTGTTAACAATAAAACCAAAACATTAAAAATTTAAAAAGTATTAATTGTGTTCTCGTAGTATTTATAAAAAAAATAAACAACTTGTATAGGTTGTAATATTATTAAAATGTTGTTAGTTTCGATTTATGAACTGTTTATATTGACATAGGTGTTTTTACTATGTTTTTAACATATTTTTATGTCTAAACATATAAAAAAATATTGGTATACAACAGCTGGTTTGTAAAAATTATTTTAAAGCGTACGAGAAAGCAATTACATAGGTATCATTTGGTTAAGTTTCTGAGATCGTGTTTGAACATTTAATTTAAATTAATGTATTTTAAAATTGTTTTTTAACAAGAGTGTACTTAGCATGTAGTTGGGTCGTCTGAACCAGGTAATTTTTCATTCAACCAGCAAATAATAATACTTTGAAAACAATGAATAATTTGAAATACATTTTTATTTGACTTAACAAAAAATACTTCATTGATTGATAAATTGCTATTTACCGTGTTATTATTGTTTCCATTTTTAACATGAAGTAGATCATTATTGGAAATGTATTTAATTAATTTTGTATTCGTTTGTTAAATTCGTTAAAACGAAAATAACTATTCAAAAAATTACATTTTTATCATTTGAGGTTTTATTTAAATACCGTTGTATTTTTAATAACACTGTTTGAAAAAAGTGTTTTACCTTTTTTTTTTAGAAAAAGAACCTTCAAATATTTATTACATTTTTTGTTTGTTTTATTTTGCTAAATCCTAATTTGGTTCAGATTTTCTCTAGCTTTTTTTAGTTGTTTAGATAATTGAGATAATTATACGGACAACATAAGAGATAATTATTGATTTATCATCCAGTCAAGTCTGATTAACACTACAATAAATAAAATCTCAGCTCAGCATCGAAGCTAAAAGAACATTTTGTTGACGTCGAAATTTCTGAAGGTAAGTGTGCTTTATTTTTGTTGAAAATATTTTCCCCGAGTCCAAAACAAACCTTGGACTTTTTATCTAAAGCGTCTAGTTATTTTTTTTAAATTTGTAAACAAAACACAGTTTGGCCGAAATTTGTTTGCGCCAAATATAGTTTTTCATTCCACTATCGTTGCCCAGTTCAAAGCGGGCCACAGAAATAATTCAGTATTTTTAGTATTTATTTTTATACATCATGCATAGCTAAACGGGCATTGAAGGCGAAACGCTACATACCGTGAGATGGTTTCTTGACGAATCTTTATTTTTTATACACAAAAGAAAAGTAGAACATTTTTGTTTACTTTTTTTTGATAAAATGTTTACAACTTATGAGGCTATTAAAAAAAAAGAAAAAGAAATTGCCTGACCAGAGAAATTCTGTGACCAGATTCGGTTAATCGCTAACCAACTTTTTGGTTATCGTTGATGACTTTTTTTCTGGTTTTGAAAAGCTTTAGAAGCGATATTTATAATACTTTTAATCACACATTATTTTTTTTCACTACCTAGGAAATGTAATCAATTTTTTTTTAATTTTGACGTTTTAACGCTTTCAAAACAATTGAAAAATGATCAAAAACTGTTCAAGACTACTTGCATTTTTGAAATATCACGATTAGAAAGGAAGAAAATAAGTTTCTTCGAATTCTGTTGGTAGGTATTTGAATACATATGTATATTTTTTCTGAAAATATTAACATTTATATAAACTGTACAGTAATTGTTTATTATTGCAAAAATGGCGTTGAAAAGCTATGAAAAATTTGTAACAGAGGTGGGATTTATGGAGTCGATATTAAAATAAAAATAATTGTCAGCCCTGTAACGCATTGGACGCGTTAAGTGAATGTAATCAAGAATATTTTGTCTACAAAATTTAGTTATTTCTTAAGTTATATCTTGTGAACCAGAGAGGTCATTATCATCGCTGATAAGCTAATTAAAACACATATCTTAAGAATAAAAATGCCTAAAAACCCATTAAATCGGGTTTAGCTCTCCATAGTCTCCTCCATATACATAGATAAGTGTCGGTTACAATAATTACATGACTGCTTGCTTTTGAGTCATATAGGTATTTAATATAATATTAGAATGTGTATTTTTCTGTTACTAAGTGAATTTCGCTAGCTATAACTTTTTTAAAAATAGCTAAATTATTATTTGCAAACTTGTATCGAATACTTTTTACATGTAGTAAATATCCATAAAAGTTGACAAACGCAAAAATATCACAAATCCTTGCACCCTAGAAGGTGTGCAACATTTTTCTTTATTTCTCTTTTTCGAGTATATCGTTTTAGGACTCACAATGAAAACAAACAACAAGAAAAGTCTTTTTAATCAAAGTCTTGAGACCCCGGCTAAAGGTCTGAAAATCATACTGAGTGTAGTCAAACTTATTTTTTTTATTAAGGAAAACCACCTTACCTATTTAAACAATGCGAGGGATCTATGCATCATGCTAAAATCAAATAGACGTGCACGGAATTTCATTGCTTATGTGTATGAATTCGCCAACAGTGCACGTTGTAGTAGAAATGCAACATTTCTGTTACAGTATTTTAATTTTGTAAGAAAAATACACTCTCAATATTTAAGCGTTACCCTATAGTTAAAGAAATTGCTATCTATATTACTATTTTATTTATTTTTTCTCGAATCCCAGATTTCAATTTATAATTTCAAAAATTGTATAGTATAAAATCAGAAAAAAAAACTGGGAATTGAAGGGATATTTTAACGTGTCCTGGTTTTCGG